AACGATTCCCTTTCTGAAGATAAGAATAGCCTAAGAAGACACATTTGAGAGAGTGAGCAGAAAGCTTGTCTAACCCTGGAGACATGTCATGAACAAAACATACACAACCAAAAACACGAGGAGAAATGTGGAAAAGAGGATTATCTGGAAACAGAATGGAGAAAGGGACCTTATGATTGAGAGAGGATGATGACATTCGATTAATAAGAAAACATGTAGTTAAGATGGCATCTCCCCAATGAAGGACAAGAATATGGGCACTAAGCAAAAGGGTACGAGCAGTTTCAACTAAGTGTCTATTTTTCCTTTCTGCTATACCATTTTGCTGTGGCGTATGAGGACAAGTGGACTGATGCAAGATATCATGTGAACTCAAAACGAAAGAAAAAGCAGATGAGAAGTACTCCTTGGCATTGTCACTTCTCAAGATTTTGATCACTTGCCCGAATTGATTCTTAATTTCATTTAAAAAGGATGTGAAGATGGATAATAATTCAGAGCGATCTTTCATAAGATAAACCCAAGTATATCTCGAAAATTCATCAATGGAAGTAACAAAATACCTAAAATCAAAAGATGAGACACGACTAGATTCCCAGATATCAGAATAGATGATAGAAAAACTAGAATTACTTTTTGATTGAGACCTTTTAGGAAAGGCAGATCTAACATGTTTGCCTAGTTGACATGGCTCACATTCTAAGGTCTGGAGACCACTAAGTTTAGGACACATTTTTTTTAACTTGGACAAATGAGGGTGGCCAAGCCGATCATGTAACATTTTAGGACTAGGGGCTGCAACACATGACACTCGTGAACGAGATCCAAAATGATATAATCCTCCTGCTTCATATCCTTCTCCAATCTGTCTCCCCAAACCATGTTCTTGTATAACATTTTGGTTAACTGGCTTAGGGAAATTAAATTGAAGGGACAATTAGGGGCAAAAATAACAGATTTTAGATTTAAGGAGGGAGACAGGATGACTTGACCGACTCCCTTTGAGGAAGTTTTAGAGCCATTTGCAAGGGTTATAAAATGAGGTTTGTCTTGAAATGAAATGGTTGAGAACAAGGAGGTATTATCAGAGATATGGTCAGAAGCACCGAAATCAATTACCTATGAATTGTGATGTTCCATGGATTCAGAGATGCAAGCTGTTGATGTACTTGGATCTTGAGATGGTTGTGCCAAGCTGTTGGACTTGAGTCGTAGGTACTCTTGATACTCGTCCTCAGTGAACTTGGGTTCAGTCATTTCAGCCTGAGAGACATTAACTGTTTTGGAAGGAAAATCGTGTAAGGAGTAACAGTTTTCCTGAGTGTGACCCATCCTTTTGCAATATGTGCACTAAGGACGCCCACGACCACCACGTCTGCCTCCTCTAGTTCCACATCCTCCTCTTCCTCGAGTGGCGACCATAATAGATGGTTCTACCAGAGCAGGAGTTTCTAGAGTTCCATGTGTTGAGACACGAACCATGCGTTGGATTAAGGTGTCCATGGAAGGGACCTCATGAGAGGTCAGAAGCTGATCTCTAGTATGGTTGAAGTCTGGATGTATAATGCGAAGAATCATCACCATATAGTATTTGTCAAGCTTCTTCTTCATTTCATCTGAAGCGTCAACCTCCAAGAACATCCGCAGGTCTTCCACGACTGATTGTGCTTCATTCATGAAGGAAATCATATCATGGTTGGTCATTTTCAGAGATGCCAGCTTGTTTGTCGAATCATAAAGGCGTTGGATATCGTTGGCATATATGTTTTGAGTCCTCTTCCAAAAAGAGTGACATGTCTTCAAGGTCCTAAGAGACATTAAAAGTCTTGGCTCCACAGATTGCCACAACAAGGCACACAATTGAAAATTTGCTTGCTTCCACTGTTCAGCTTTTCCTTCAGGTACATGGCTTTCGTCTTTCTCAAGATGGTCATGATGTCCCTGACCAAGGAACCACATCTCGACGGCAGCGGACGAATAGAGATAATTTTGTTTGTTTAGCTTTTCAGAAGTAATGGAAGGACTTCCAGAGAATGAAATAACGCTTCCAGCACTTCCAGTTGCCAGAATCAAGAGGACAAAAAAACAGAGAGCAGATATGCAAAAACAGTGAAGATTTTGAAAGCCCTAGGGAGATTTCTGAAAAGGGGATGTCTGGACTTTACCAAAACGAACAGAGGAGGTTCTGGCGAAAGCTACTGAGGTGGTGCGGTGACGATCCGGTGAGTGCACGGCGGCGCGTGGATTGCATGCGCATGACTGCAGCGGACGGAGATGGTGCGCGTGGTGGCGCGTCGGCTGACGGCGGCAGACAGCGATGGATAGTTGCTTGAATGGTGTTGGATAGTGGCTGGAATGTCACTGGAATGTGGTAGAAAAGTTGTCGGACAACAGCAAAAAAAGTGACCAGACAGGGAGGTCGGACGGGAAGTTGCCTGAAAGTGACCGAAAAGTTATCAAAAAGTGGTGGGATGGTGGCCTGGCGGGACCGGAAGGGCAGAGCAGAACCAACCTGCTCTGATACCAACTTAAGATTAATAGAGAAAAAATATATCTTCAGGGCTTATGGGACCCTTCTCCCTTTCTTCTATTTATAATGGAAATCTAATACAATGAGACATAAAAGACTAAGAGACTGCAACTAGCACCCTAGGTGCAGATCTAGATACAGTTGTAGGAAGTTTTCCGCACTCAACAACCTATACTTAGATCTAATGATAATACTAGGAAGAAATGATTCTAACAATTTACAGCATCTTAAAACCCATATGATTGGATGCAAGGTGGACAACCATTGAACTCCTAGAACAAGATCACAACACACCAAAGGAAACACCATTACGTTATAAGTAAAGATGGATTGTTGTAGTTGCCACGAAGAAACCTCTACAGATATGTTGAGCACCCAATCCAATCCCATCAGCCACAGTAACTGAATCTAATAGCTTCCATTTTACACCCTAATTTTCTTAGCAAGATATAAGTCTAAGAAATTATGTGTACCGTCACTGAAAATTTAAATTGCAACAACTTCTTGTTATACAGACCTCTTACCTCCATAGTTTGATAATTAGATGGCCCAGACAAAGCATTTCATGGACAGTTGAGGTCTATCACCATAACTAGTGGCACAGCTGTCACAACATTGCCTTCTACCATCTATATCTGTTCATCCACTGGTTCTTCATCCATTTTCATTACCAGGAGCTGAGATTTCTTATGTTGCAATTGGTGTAAGAGGCTCATCACAAAGTATGCATAACTTGTATCATAAACGGACCTTATTTTTAGGAGATCCCATCCACCCGCAAAATCCATGACTATATGAGCTGACCTGCAAATGGCAAAAAAAAAAAAAAAAAAATTCACTTTTAAAACATAATTATTAAACACATTTCAAATGCAAAAATAAACCCAATCAATGTCCAAATAGAAAAGTTTAAATAGGAATAGAAGTTAAATTACAAAACAAAACACAAAACAACATCCTTGATAAAATGGTTGATCATTAATATTGTTAGATCCCATCCTTGATATAGTTGATTCTTCCAAATTTTCACTCTAGAAAAATTTCCACTTCATCTACAGTGCAACACATTAAAAATACTGAATAAATAACATATTTAAAATACATCAAATGCTTTAGTTTAAACTTTAAAGGCTAATTTTTTTATATAATTGACATACGATGTTGGTGTGGGCAGTTTACGGTCTCTACAGGTTATGCGGACTGGGCTAAAAATGCCTGCATGAAAACAAATTCCCAATTTTAAAGTCTATACCCGTTTGAGTTGTGGTTTATCTGAGAAGTCCGTGGATTTAAACCCAAATACCCTGCTCTACTTGTATAGCCATTCCTTAACTTCCGAACCTTTGAACCTAGGGAAATTCAATCTTGGAAATCATAGTCGAATGGTTTTGCACACAAGAATGATTGTTTTTGTGTAAAGCCCATAGGTACACAAATTTTTAGAGTTCAAGAGTGAGTTTGATCTCACATTGAGTATAACAAGTGAGAGAGATCTACAAACTTAATATTTTGGGTTGTAGGTACTATCATATTTTCTTGTATTTTCTTATATGTTTAGTTTGTGATCCCATTTGTAAATATCTACTTCTTGTTGTCCCCTTTGCAAATAATCAATAGTAGTATTAAAGTTGATAGTTCATCTTGACAACTGGCTCAGTTGAATACAATATGAAGTAGGTAATATGAAACATATAAATGAAAAAGACCTACAAACTTCAAAATTTGGGTTAAAAATGATATTATATTTTCTTTTATGTTTAGCTGATAGTCCCATTCATAAATATCTTCTAGATAAATTTCACCATGAAGTCCTGTTTGGGGCAATGTTGTTAGTAGTAGACAAAACCTCATGTCAAGAGCTGTTTACTTGATTACTGAACATTAGTCAGAACTACTTACTTGATCCAATTTCATTTGCATTTCTGCATTGAATACTAATCTGACCTGACTACATGTCGAACTGCCATGGTATGAGCCCCAGGACCTATAATCTGATACTAATTGAAATGGAAGTTTATCCAGGGAGAATGAATTAGAGAAGCTAATGGACAAGGGAATTAAAAGTTAGAATAATTTCCGGAGTTCAAGTATAAGAGTATTAGAAAAGAGATGGTGAGAGAGACAATATTTTGGTGGTAATCTGCCCCTTCCAAAACGCAACCAACACATATGCATTGGTTAAGTTACAAATCGCAGCGGCAAGAAAGGGCTCTAACCAACTCTCCACCACACTATTTTAATTATTGTGCATTGCCACATCAGCAAATCAGATTAAAAGGAAATAAACCAAATAGAAGCGTTAACATATAAAGCTTATAAAAAGACGCATAAAGTTATTGAGTATGAATTGAAAAGAAATAAAGTGAGTAACAGCATCTATAAGTGACACCTTTTGAAAGAAAAATGGGTCTTAGCTCATTTTCATGCCTCATTTTGTTTGATGCTGTAGGTGGGAATGATGCTTAGAGGCATGGGTTTTGATAACACAACCTCCGTATATGTTGCAGCTGGAAAGATTTATAAAGAACAAAAGTACATGGCACCACTTAAACAGATGTTTCCACGACTACAAACCAAGAATACATTGGCAACACCAGAAGAGCTTGCTCAATTTATGGTATTTAAGTGATCTATTCTTGTTTCAAAAAAGAAAAGATATTTTATTATTTATAGAAATGAAATGTAATCCATGGAAAAATAACAAGTTCTCTGTAATGCTTATGTTCATGATGTAGGGACATTCGACTAGGTTGGCTGCACTTGATTATACTGTTTGCCTGCATAGTGAAGTATTTGTTACAACCCAGGGTGGAAATTTTCCCCACTTCTTGATGGGTCACAGACGCTATATTTATGGTGGGCATGCAAAGACAATAAAACCTGACAAGAGAAAATTGGCTTTATTATTTGATAATCCGAATATAAGGTACAACTTTGGCCATTTCCCGGTTTGTATTGCTTTTTTATTAAAGAAGTAAAACATTTATGTAGAAGATAAAGTTTATTTGTCTAGAAGATAATTATTCTTATTAGAGGAAAATTTCATATATGTTTGATAATCCTATAATATAAGGTACACAGGAAAGTGGAAATACTGAATATTGTTTCTTATGATACCTGTACAGAATGTATTTACATTATACCGATCTATATCAATAATTATTTGTCTAAAACATAGAGATAAATATAAGGAAATTAAGCGCTGATTGGATAGGTTTCTCCAAAATGTGTACACCCTCAGGTCATGCATGAATTAGGGAAGGCTTGGGCTAGCTCAATCAAGGTACAACTAGGAAAATAATTACTTAAGAGAAGGTTGGGGTAGCCCGTATTGTGTTGACTTCATTTTAGATGATTTAGGCCTGTAGATGGTGTGAACGTGTCTGGAGAAGACCTGTAGAGGGTTGACCAGATGGAAGATAGTGCAATAGTTCGAGGTAGAGGCAGACCTAGGAAAACTATAGAGATTTACAGGTAAATGGTCTGTGATTGCTCTTAATACCTCACAAAGCTTTGTCATTACATGATTCATGTAGCCAACCTTGTGGGAAAGGGCTTAGTCTTAGTATATTATTATGAGAAGAGTTCTAGTCAATATTAAATACATTTCTACACATTCTCTAAAGATTTAATTAAATGCCTTGTTGTTGACGGAAAAATAAAGGATGGTTCTCTTCTGAATATTCTTTCCCGTGCAGTCAACTATAATTGACAGTCTCAAAATACAATATATCTTAACCACGAGCAGTTCTTAACTTACAATTCATATGGAATTTGGAATGCAGTAAGTGCTGATAGAAACCAAACTGCTAGTGGCTATATTGTTGAGAATTGTCTAGAGAAGTCTACTATCCCACCCATGAGATACCAGCATAGTTTCTGTACTTGTTATAAAGTATATGACTATAACTTTTTTTAATGATCTGGCAGATGGGAATTATTCAAGCAGCAAATGAAAGACATGCTTCGTCATAGTGATCAAAAGGGAACCGAGTTAAAAAAGGCTTCTGGATCTCTATATACTTTTCCCATGCCAGATTGCATGTGTAAACACGTACAACCAAAAAGTGAAAACTCTAACACGACGAAATATATGAAGTTATAAAAATGTAGAGGAATTGTCTTTAGGAGATCAAATTGCTCAATACTTGTAATTTATTTTGTACAATTACCTTCTTTTTATTTTATTATTTTCTAGTTCAAATTAGCTCTGAAATCATAATCATAATTATTGTATATTGTACACGGGATTCATTGTACATGACATTCATTGTAAACCCAGATAGACTTACACGTCATATGGTGAGCTGTGTCACAATTTAATTTATTAAACCAAGCTGCTTCATATAGCAAGTGACAAATAATATCAACGGTTATTAATATTGTCAATTTATTATAAGGGATAAATATGTTTTTAGTATTTTTACTTTCTTCTTAAATTGGAAATTGTAAATAGTTTCTTTGTTAAAGTTTACATAAAAATGATTTTTATATTTTGAAATAATTAGAATAGATCCTTGTTTAAGTGTTAAATATATAAGGACATGTCTAGTAGAGATAATGTGATTATTTATTATTTGACACATGTAATTATTTAAAAAAAAAAATTTTTTTTTAAAATAAAAAGTAGAAGTTTTTTTTCTCCTCACTCACTAAAATTTTTCAGTTTTCGTCACAATCACTTTTCATTCTCTCTTCTTTTCTTGTCACAACTGTTTTTTGTTCTCTTTTCTTTTCTTGTCATACATTAAAAGTCTTTTCTTTTTTTCTCTTTCTCTATAAAGGTTGTATGAAGTCAAAATGACTTCAAAGTTCTAGGATTTCATCGGTTCGTTGTGATTCAATTGACAGTGCGACGATGGTTCGATCGATAGTGCGACAATGGTGCACAACGACGAGTGTGCAACGTTGGTATACCATATTTAGGGTTTTTATTTCCAAAAATTAAGATAGAGAAGTTTTAATGACTTATAAATGATAGAGAAGTTTAAATTTCTTTTTAAATGGCTTTTAAATATTATAAATATGAATTTAAATGACTTTTAAAAGTTTGACACCTTTTAATTTTATTTTTTAAAATAATTACACATGTTAAATAATGAATGAGTTATATCATTTACGTTAGGCAAGTCAGCATATATTTAACATTGTTTATAAAATAGGGACCTATTTTAATCATTTCAAAAATATATGGATCATTTTTATATGAACTATGACAAATAGACTATTTTCAATTTCACATGAAAGTATAATGACTAAAAACATACTTAATTCTTATTTAAATTATAAAATTTATAAATTTAATATGCATTTTTTTATAAACTAAAATAATTGGTTTTACAGTAAAGAACGAATAAAATTATACCTTGTCCATATCAGCGAAAATAGCATTTTCACATATCTCCAACTCGAAGTTCATATTTAACCTTAAACTAAATTCGTAATACTTTAATTGAAAAATATAACATTAATACATTAAAGGAGATAAAGTGGTCACAGTAACATTGAAGAGGTAAGAATAATTTTTGTTGGAGCTGTTCCATGGAATTACGAATATCTTATATTGGTTTTACCTTCCTGCACTCCCCATATTTTTTAAAAGGATAATACTGTAAGTTATACTTGATTGAGGTAACATGGGTTTTAGAATAGAATTTTTTTTTTAACGATCTACGGAAAATGCCGATGGTTGTCAGTAATGAGTATTGCTCCTAGACTAATAGGTGGACTGCGCAAAATATAGGACACAGAGTTGCTTATCACGAAACTTATCTTCTATCAACTTGGCAAGACTTGTCACCTGTGATAAAGCGTGCTGTTGCAAGACATCGAGTTCACGCCACATCATCCTTCAACCTAAAGATGAAACAGTTTAAGCCTCACTTTAATATAATTAATTTTTAGGCATAATCATCTAGTCATTGTGATTTCAGCTTCACTCTCTACGGCCTATCCAGACTTGATCTACTTACAAAATCTGACCCATTATTCTTGTAATGATTCACAATTTCAGTACACATCACATTACTGCCAGTCGTACATACATCACCCAAACACATAATCGTCTGAAATAGCTAGAACTTAAATTAGGTGACCTTAACGGGACATACCTATACGTAGAACCATCCTTCCGACAAATGTACGTTCCTATACTTCCTTTTAAACACGCTAACGTTGTTATCAGCCATGATCCGGAGTTAAACAATCTTTACAAGCAAGAAAAACGTGAACACATCAACAAGGGGCCATTAGTAGTATATATTTGGCCAGAATCACAAGGTTTAGCAGCCACTAGCCAGACATGAATGACATTGCTCGTCTGAAGTCCAAAGGTTTGAGGGCTTCCTGAGGAAAAGGCGTTCCATCTGGTAGCCACAGTCCACCCTCATGAGGTAGCAGCACCTGTGGTTGGGCTTGGCTACTTCTAGCACCTTCAACACCTTCTTTAGATGGAACCTCATTCTTTTTCTTTACAAATTCAAAAAACTCTGCAACTTGGCGTGCATATCTGCACCACAGGCAAAACAAAAATTACAATGAATTAAGAATCTATAGATAAATGGTTATACAATATATTTCAAGCATAAATCTCAACTATGGAATTTTTAAAACTTGTATTGTAAAATCATAAGATTTTACTTGTTAAAGAAACAGAGAACTTGGTTACCTTTACTTCCAGATATATCAATTACAGAAAAAGTACCATTTCACTCACCACAATCATTACCAGTAACATGTTAACGATTTGCGAGTGAAGAGCGACATTAACTTGAAGTGCAAAATTTTCATAGAAAGCAATGAATTAATTGTCAATGGGAAAGGTTTGGGCATTTTGCGTAATAGCAGGACTCAGAAAGTAAGCCCAGACCCAGATGATTACCAAATAGTCCTGCGGATTCTTCATTGGCTAAACAATAAAATTATCTTATTAGCAAGATGGAAAACATCCATTTAACAAAACACTATAATCCTAGTTGTAAGTTACAACGTATATCAAATAATGATACATCCCTTCTGTATATTCTTTATAGGATGAAACAATCTAACAGTACACACAAAACAAGACAAGTGTATCGAGCAGTTTGAATTGTACCATTGACCATAGGTTTATAACTTCAGAGAAAGTAGTTATTTTTCTCTCAGGTGATTTTTTTACCAGTTACATGATGACTAATGCATAAAATTCATGTGCACCCCCAACAGAAAAGTTTGAGTGCCAATTTAACAACAAAATTGCTAAACATACATTAATTCTAATTGTATGCACATGTTTCTAAACATTTAAAAGCACTTAACGAAGTTTGCCAAAGACCTCACAAAACTACCAGTATGTTCAATACTTAAAAGTTTAGAAGCATGTAAAATAATGCTTTTGCCTTTTCCCTTCGTCTATAATACAATGGCAGCGGAAAAACATGCCCCCCCTCTTCTACCAGAAGAATCATAGTAATCAGACCTTTCTGTTGGGTGAAATGAGAAATTCTGATTACTTTAACAAATAGCAAAAAAAAAAAAAAGTCTTGTGGTTTGATGATATAAGAGTAGTATTATTTTGAACTTCTAAAATTTCAAAGCAACAATACTCCCATTTATACTAAAATAAAGTACAGGTCAATTACCAGTGTAGTGCAATGACACAAACTTTTGGTAAACCACAAAGAAAAAGTTATAGCCATTGCGGTGGGAGTATACAAAGCTCCAATATGGGGCTCAGGTCCCATACCTTGGGACAACTAGGCTGTGCACTAGTCTAGTTCCATTCCAGGTAAAGACTGTATCACCAAAATTAGGGATGGCAAAACGGGCTAGGCCCGACGGGTTGGTGTTTTCAGCCCACCAGCCCGCTTTGGCCCGCCCCGTGCAAGCCCGCTAACCCGTTGGGCCAACCCGCAGGACAGGGCGGGCCAGCCCACGACCCGCCTAATTAATAAAAAAATAATTTTTATTGTAATAAAATTAATTATAAAGATAATATATAAAGTTAAAAATTTTAAAAAGAGAATTAAAAAAGTTTCATTCTCATAGAAAATATTCTCCTTCCCGAAATATAATTTTCTCTCATGTTCTCCTCATTTATCCTAAGCACTCGATTATATTTATCCTTATTACTTGAATTAAAGGTATAAGAATTATTCAACCAAGAATAATATGAAGTTTTATCAAATAAAAAAGATATAGGTATTTGAATTTTTCAATATAAAAAATATAAATTTTATAAGTTTAACGTTATATATATATATATATATATATATATATATATATATATATATATTATATATATATAAGTTTAACGTTATATTTGTTATTATTTATTATTATGTAAATTTTATTATTGTTCTAAATTATAATTTCTTAAAATAATGTATTGATTTATATTATTAAATTGAAATAATATGTATATATATATATATATATATATATTGAATTATTGACAAACAAATAATAATCTTATTATTAAATTTATTAAAAAAAATTATTTTAAAAAAAATTATTTTTTCTAAATTATGGCGGGCCAGCCCGCCAACCCGCTCCTTGACGGGGCGGGCCAAGGTCTACAGACCAGTCATGATTATATCGGGCCAGCCAAAAGCGGGGCGGGCCAAAACGGGGCGGGCTAGCCCGTTTTGCCGTCCCTAACCAAAATCACTATTCACAACCCATGCTGCTCATTTGCGATGGAGAGACATAGTGGAAGGCTCTAATATAATTGTATATAAACCAATGGAGAACCACATTACCAAAGCTAACCATAATGGAGGTAAAACTCAAGTCCATATAAACCCCTCATCAAAATCCCATGCTTGAGATGTATGATTTAAGAGTTAAGAGAGTAAAGAGAATGAAAAGAAGATTTCTAATTTTGTGGGATACTTACTCCACTCTATGATCTCATATATATATATATAGGATTACAACATTTAAAACAACAACCACTAACTACTAACAACCACCAACCACCAACTACTAACTACTAACCACTAACCACTAACTAATAATAATTCTAACACTCCCCCTCAAGCTGGAGCATACAAATTGTATGTACCAAGCTTGGAACAAATAAATTCAATTCGAGGTCCTCTTAAAGACTTTGTCAACACATCTGCAAGTTGATCATTGGACCCGACAAATTCAGTGCAAATTTCTTTAGACAACAATTTTTCACGAATAAAATGACAATCAAGTTCTATATGTTTGGTCCTTTCATGGAACACCGGATTAGAGGCAATGTGGAGAGCTGCTTGATTGTCACAATACATCTTCATCTCGTTGGATCTCACAAAATTTCAGCTTCTTGAAGGAATTGTTTCACCCACACTAGTTCACAAGTGAGAGATGCCATTGCTCTATATTCAGCCTTCAGCACTAGACCGGGCCACTACATTTTGTTTCTTACTTTTCCAAGAAATAATATTGCCTCCAATGAGAACACAATATCCCGTAGTGGAGCGTCTATCCATAGGGGATCCAACTCAATCGAGCATCACAATACCCGGATATTTGGGTACCCCCTTTATCTTCATACAAATGGACCTTGTCCCGGAGCTTTTTTGAGATATTTTAGGATGTGAACGACAAGCATTCCAATGATCAGTACGCGGATTTTGCATAAATTGACTCACAACTCCAACGGCAAAAGATAGGTCAGTCCGGTAATGGTGAGATAAATGAGTTTCCCAACAAGTCTTCTATATCTCTCAGGATCGAGAGCGGTTCACCTTGATCCGCCATTAATTTCTCGATTTGGATCCATAGGGTCATTCATCGGTCTACAATCAATCATGCCTGTTTCTTTCAAGATATCTAAAGCATACTTTCTTTGGGAGACTACGATGCCTTCTTTTGATTGAGCCACTTCAATCCCTAGAAAGTATTTGAGACAACCAAGATCCTTAGTTTGGAAGTGATTGCATAAATGTTTCTTTAGCAAAGAAATTTTATCAACATCATTCCCGTAATGACTATATCATCTACATATACAATTAAATAAACACATTTTCCTGAAGCAATATAATAAAAAACAGAATGATCTCGCTTCACTTCGTTTTAATCCAAAACTTTGAACAATGTGACTAAACTTTCCAAACCAAGCACGTGGAGATTGTTTGAGACCATAGAGAGAACGATGTAACTTACAAACCAAACTAGACTCCCCCGAGCAACAAAACCAGGAGGTTGCTCCATATAAATTTCCTCCTCAAGATCACCATGCAAGAACGCATTCTTGATATCTAACCGATGAAGAGGCCAATGACTGGATAGCCGCCATAGCAAAGAAAAGTCGAACAATAGTCATTTTGGCCACAGGAGAAAAAGTATCACCGTAGTCAAGGCCATAGATCCGAGTATAGCCTTTTGCTACTAATCTAGCTTTGAGTCGATCAACTTCACCTTTTGGTCCAACTTTAATGGCATAGACCCAACGACAACCAACAGCTCTTCTTCCCATGTGGAAGAGGAATTAAGTTCCATGTACCATTGTGCTCAAGAGCCCGCATTTCATCAATCATGGCTTGTCGCCATCCAGGATGATCAAGTGCCTCTTTTACATTCTTTGGAATAGTAATAGTGGATACGTAAGAAACAAAAGAAAAATAGGAAGGAGACAATCTATGGTAGCTAAGAAAATTGTAAATGGGATGTGGATTACGAGTAGAGCGAGTACCTTTGCGAATGGCAATGGGCCAACTTGAGTCACCATTATCGGAATCGTGGTATCGGGGGATGATTGAGAAGGATTTGCTGAGGAAGACTCATCTTGGGACATGGGACTGATCATTTGGCTCCTGTGTTGATAGGTAATAAGAGGCAGTGATGAGGATTCCGGTGTATTTTGTGTGAAATTTTGGGTGTCAGGAGGAGGTACAAATGACTCCACTAAGGGTATAGGTAGGACATTTTGGACTGAACTAATATCCTGCATAGAAGAAGGGAAGAAGGGAGTTGACTCAAAAAAAGTGACATTAGCAGACATGTAGTACCTCTTGGTTTCAGGAGAATAACATCGATATCCTTTTTGAAGACGAGAATATCCCAAGAAGACACATTTGATGGCTCTAGCCGATAGTTTATCTAAACCTGGAGACATATCATGAACAAAACATACACAACCAAATACACGAGGAGAAACATGAAAGAGTGGGTCCTTTGGCAATAGAATAGAGTGTGGAACTTTATTGTTAAGAGAAGAAGATGGCATTCTCGTTAATGAGAAAACATGCAAGTAAGAATAGCATCTCCCCAATGATGAACGGGCATATTTCCACCAAGTAATAAGGTACGAGCAGTTTCAACCAAATGTCTATTTTTTCGTTCCGCTATACCATTTTGTCGTGGTGTGTGAGGACAAGTAGATCGGTGTAAAATGCCTTGGGAGCTTAAGAGAGTGGAGAAATCAGTAGAAAAGTATTCTTTAGCATTATCACTTCGTAAAACTTTGATTACTTTTCCAAATTGATTTTTGATTTCGTTAAGGAAAGACTTAAAGATAGGTAATGATTCAGAACGGTCTTTCATTAGATAAATCCAAGTACACCTAGAAAACTCATCAATGAAGGTAACAAAATATCTATAGCCAAAGGATGAGACACGACTAGGACCCCAAATATCGAATGAACAAGAGAAAAGACAGAGTCACATCTAGATTCGAACGTTTAGGAAAAGAGGACCTAGTATGTTTCCCTAGTTGACATGATTCACATTCAAAATCTTGAAGAGTCTCGAAGTTCAGGAACCATTTTTTTTAATCTTGATAAGTGAGGGTGCCCTAACCGTTCGTGTAATAGTTTTGGAGACAAGGATGCAACACAAGATACGGATGATTTAGTCCCAAGGTAGTATAAGCCTCCAGATTCATGTCCTTCGCCAATCTGTCGACCCGTACCACGTTCCTCGTATAACAAAAGAGTTGGCATTAAAGGTTACCGAACAATTCAATAATTTGGTTAATTGACATAGAGAAATGAGACTAAAGGGACATGAAGGAACAAAAAGAACAGATTTTAAGTTTAAAGACGGAGAAATGGAGACTTGACCAGTTCCTTTAGAGGCTACTTTAGATCCGTTGGCTAAGGTTATGAGATGAGGAGTTTTAGGAAATGAGAGAGAAGAGAACAAAGAGGCATTACCGGACATGTGATTAGAAGCACCTGAGTCAATAATCCATGGATTTTGACTTTCCACGATTGTGAAATGCAAGCCGTTGATGAATTTGGGGTTGTTGATGACCGTGCTAGATTACTCGGATTTCAACCTCAAATATTCCCGATATTCTTCGTGAGAGAACTTGGGTTCAACCATTCCAGATTTGGAAAAATTGACAGCTTTATCAGGAAAACCGTGCAAAGAGTAGCAATTTTCCACCGTATGACCCATTCTCTTGCAATGAGTGCACCGAGGACGTCCTCTACCTCCACGTCCTCCTCTAGTGTCGCGACTTCCTCTTCCACGGGTAGAAATCATAGCGTAAGATTCAACAAGTTCTTGATTAATTTTTCCTTTGAGAGTTGGAACACGAAACAGTCTTGTAGTCAAACTTTCCATAGAAGGAACTTCTTGTCCAGTTAAAATTTGATCTCTAACATGATCAAATTCTGAATTCATAGCTCGGAGAGTCATAACCATATAGAATTTATCCAACTTTTGCTTTATCTCCTCTAACGAATCCACCTCTAGGAACATCTTTAATTCTTCAACTCGCTGATTGAGCTTCGCAATAAAGGTCATCATATCTTTATCCACTTGCTTGAGAGAGGCTAATCGATTAGCGGAATCATAGAGGCGTTGGATATCATTTGCGAAGATATTCTGAGCTTTCTTCCGTAAAGAGTTACATGTTTTGAAGGATCTGAGAGTGTTCAAAATATTTGGTTCTACTGATTGCCACAGTAGAGCACAGAGTTGATAATCAAGCTTTTTCCATTGTTGAGTCTGATCTTTTGGTATCTTACTTTTGTCTTCTTCTAGATGATCGTGAAACCCTTGTCCAAGGAACCAAAGTTCCCCTGAAGAGGACCAAGACATGTAATTTTTTCCATTTAATTTCTCAGCCGTTATCGTGGGAGTTCCGGAAAAGGAGGTTGTGGGCCCTGACGACATGTTTTAAATAATGTAGATGTAAGATGGAGACAATGGAACCTGTAAGAAAGAGAACACCCAAGATAGCCTGAAGGTTACTGGAAGGTGGTCGGAAAAGTCGTCGAACGGCAGCAAAAAAAAAAGGTGACTGGACGAGGGACTGACGGCTGCCGAAAAGTGACCGGAAAGTGGCCGGAAATTGGTCGGACGGTGGCCGGAAAATGGTCGGACGATGGCCGGAAAATGGTCGGACGGTGACCGGAAAATGGCCGGACGGTGACCTGAAAATGGCCGGACGATGGCCGGAAAATGACCGGGACGGTGGCCGGAAAATGGTCAGACGGTGGCTGGAGGTGGCCGGACAGGCAGAGCAGGACCAACCTGCTCTGATACCAAGTTAAGAGAGTAAAGAGAATGAAAAGAAGATTTCTAATTTTGTGGGATACTTACTCCACTCTATGATCTCATATATATATATAGGATTACAACATTTAAAACAACAACCACTAACTACTAACAACCACCAACCACCAACTACTAACTACTAACCACTAACCACTAACTAATAATAATTCTAACAAAGTCCCATACCTTGGGTTTAGAACATAGCATACGACCAGTACAAGCTAAGCTCAACAACAATCCTAACATAATAAGACTCCTTCGGACAATAAGAGTCATAATACTCTAACATAGACTAAAATGTCTGACAGAACAAAAGCATACTCCGTTATAAGGAAATTGAAATAAATATATGAATAAGAGATAATTTATCTTACTGCCTCTTTGCCTCAATATCTTTGCTGAAATCAATATTGGGTTCACAATCCAGAACCAATGCAGGAACCTGTGCGTAGTAAAAAGGTTAATCCAATCTACCCAAGCAAATAATATATCAAGAGATGTGATTTCCAAATATTATACCTTCTGAATGCTTGAATGCATGTGACCACCCTCCAGATAAAAAACACGGTCTCTTATATCAGGGTGTAAAGAGTTATCAACATGATGGGGTAGTTTATTGACTGATAAAATTCCATGATTACCACTTTGGAAGGGAAATAACCAGCTTTCATGCTTTTCGTGGAGGTCACAGAGATAGTCCAGGGTGACTCCACCTTCTTCTTCTCTCTTCCTTAACATCATTCTCTTATGGCAAGTATCAGGACTTGCCCTAAGATAGATAAAACCATCAGGAATAAGTCCAGGCAACGTGGACACCACAGGATCAAACCACGAGTCATAAATACTGATCTCCATCTCATTCATCCAATTGGCTTCATGAACAGCTCGCACAAAAACCTTTATTGAATAGTGACTAGTGAGATAAAAAAAACATAAGTTTTTAAACTCTTAGAACAGGGATTCTCTTCCTCTCTAATCAAACTAACCAAAAAAAAAAAAGGAAATGCAGTTGCAAATCCAGTAGTTGCTATCATTTTGTAACTGGCATTCAAAAGAAGTTGCATCGGTGAGTGAGGAAAAAGGCAAACTAGTGCACTCACCCCAAACCAAAGGAAAGAAAAATACCAATAGACAACCAACCAAAGAAGATTTAAGAGGCAGATAAAGAATACTAAAGGGGTAAACACTAACCATTCTGTCACTGAAAACACTCCTCTCCATCAAGCGAAGAGGCTTGATTCCACCAGATGACTCTCTTTCCTGCATCACCCTCGTAACAAATACATAGTTCTGAAATGTGTAGGCATACCTTTGTGGCTCCGCATAAAAAGCATCCAAAATATTGAAGTGGTCAGGTCCAACATCCTGCCACTTGTTAATGGGTTCAGGAACCACCTCAACAAGGTCACGCAATTCAATCGTTTCATTCGCTATTCTCTGAAGGAAGGTAGTCTTGCCAACGCTAATATTACCCTCTACACAGAATGTTAAGCGCTTCTTCTGCTGAGGCTGCGGAGAGGAATTGTCTTCCAACTCCTCATCAACACTTTTTTTAATGAAAGTAGTTATACTTTCAGCATGGTTCTTGTGGATTATCCCAACTGAACTCTGTAGATACTCGACCATCTTGTCACTCGATTTGCCAAAGAACTGCAGCAGATGACCCAAACAAACAGAACAAACAAAAATGCGAGATACTCAGTATGATCCAAATAACATTTCTTTATCCTTCCTTCATAGCCAAAAAATAATTTTATAAGAACTTGGGGTAGTTATTTGATCTATTTAACAGAACAAGTGTGGACAAATAGTTACAAGCAGTGTCATTTATTATTCACACCATTCCTATAAATTGAGTTGGAAGATACTCAGTAGAGCCAAACTCAAAAAACACAAAAACGGTGTTTGGCAGGAAATTATTTTACCTTTCCCAGGAATCTTAGGTTAGGAACTTTAGACTCCTATGATAAATTTAAAAAAACATTCCCATAAATCTAACATTCCTAGAATAACTTTAAAAAAATATATCCAAGTCCCGAGGAATTCTAAACGTGTTCCAGGAAATGACATTTCCAGGAATGAAAACAGATTCTGTACATCAAAAAACACTGGCGAAGATACTAAAACAACAGTTGTGAAAAAAATAAAAAAGTTTTAAGAGAGAAGGGGAGAGACCTTATCCTTGTAGAGTTGCTTGAGTTGGGCAACACCAGCGATACCTTTCTGAACGAGCTTTCTGAAATTTCTGGGACCCACACCGGGAATGGCCAACAAATCAGGATTTGAAGGAGTAGGAGAGGAAGAAGTAGTAGAACCCTTTTGCCTCCTATTTAACCTAAAGTTAAAGGGTTTGGTCTCCACTGCGTGGCTGATATCTGCAGAAGCATCGTGAAGAGGGTGAGAGTGGGTAATAAAGGAGCCGTGAGAAGCCGAAAACAAGGAGCGGTTTGGGGAGTAGTTAGGGAGAAGAGGGATGTCATTCCGGGTGGGGGTGGGGGTTAGACTTAGCCTACAGGCACAGAAAGTATTGGAAGAAAGCGGGAGGTAGCGGGAAGAAAGATGGGGCCTAAGGGCTGCGAAGAGCTTTTTCTTGTCGGAGAGGGAATAAGCAGGAGGAGGAGGAGGAGGCGGTGCTGCTGACATTGGTAGAAAGTTTGAAACTTTGGGAAATATGGATAGGAAGGGCAGCGAAGTTGAAGAAGAAGAAGAAGAAGCCGAAGGGCTCAGCAGTTTCTGCATTTCACTCCCTCTCTGTTTCTGGCCTGTTCCTCATAATGATGGCGGGAAGGGTTTTAGGTTTAGCCTCTCTCTCCCTGCTCTGTTGTTCTATTCTTTTATTATTCACACCAAAATTGGATTCCCCCATACACACTCTCTAATGGAAAATAGAGAATTCTATTTATTCACTGTCACAGCCCAATGGAATCAAATTATTATATTTTCCTAAATATAATGATTTTAAATTTATTTAACTATTTTTATAAATTATAATTTATAATTTTTTAAAACCTGTGTTTCCCATTTTTATACTCTTATCTTTATGATAAATAATTAGTCCACTTAACTCAATTTTAACGTCATATTCTAATTATACATATTTTTCTAATTGCCATGCAACCCACTCCATAAATATTCTAACTTCATCACTTAATTATTTACTTGTTTAAGACACAAACCAATCATGACTTCTAAGCCACAAACTACAGTTTTACACAAATCAGAAAAAAATATTAAATAAAGTCTTCTTTCCACCCTGATTTTCTCAGTTTCAATTTAATCCTACCTTAATAATCTTAAACAAATTTAGCCCTAGAAATTGACCTTATTAAAACAATTTTTAATTTTAAATATGTAGTTTCTTTTATGTATATAGAAAAGAAGATGACATCATCGGTTACACTTATCTGCACGTTGAAAACCGTCTACAAATTATGCGCTTATTATGAGCTGAGTTTGTCTCCACGACGCTCTCCTCCTCTTCACTACACTACGACACTGTTCTCGTAATAGTAAAAAACACTTTTTAGTGAGTAATTAAAAAAGTTAAAAGCATAAAACCTATTATTATTGTTAGTTAGATTGAATTTGAAAGCAATAGAAAGAGAACTGAATCATGAATTCAAAGTGTGGAGTCGTTGAAATCCATCGCATTTAATAAGCTCTAAAATCAGTTGGTTCGTTCGCATATTTTTTATTTTGCCCTTTTTTTTTTTTGGCATTCATACGTACCCAACAACTTAACAACTCCTCCAACCCTCCCACACCACGAAAAAGAAAAACAAAAAGGACAAGCAAATATCGATAAAGGAAGAAAATCAGGGGGCATAGTAGATAAAGAAGAAGAAAAACCCAGACTTTATACGGTTTCCGAGGAGCAGTGAAGAAAGTTAAAGATGGGTAACAGTTTTATTTGCATGACTAAGTCCAAAGATGTTGGATCGAGGAGCAAGAGAATGGGTAGATCACAGAGGAAGCCTGTGAGCGAGGAAGAGCTGCATCTTCAGGCGCTGTCTATGGCACTTCAGCAGCATCAATTTTCTCAGAGGTTTGAAGGGTCTATGTCTCGGAGAATTGGCTCCTCTAGAAGGCATGCTGTGTCTGAATCTTTTTCAGCCAACAAGCAGGTGTGTGCCTGCTTTTGCTTGGTTATTTATTTATTATTTTATATTGTATTATATTTGCCCTGATTTGTGGGTTTTTGATTGAAAAGTTTTGATTTTTGAATCATTTCATCAGTGCCAAAAAGTAGCTTATCATGATTAAGATCTTTGTGTATGTGGGTTGGGTAGAAGTGAAAACTATTGTCTTTGATGAGTGGAAGCATCTTGTGTCAACAGAACAATCCAGGGCTGAAAAGTAACCATACAAAAAGAAATCAAGGGCTACTTTTTTCTTTTCCTTTTTTTTTTTTGTGTGTAAAAAAGGGGTTGTTCCTTTTGTGCCTCAAAAGGTGCATCTAGGAAAGTACATGGCCAATGCACAGTGCTTTCTAAAGAAGATGCGATTTGTTTATGATTAGTCGCCTGTATCTTGTACTAGTTAATATACCCCACTTTCCTTGACTCCGCTATATTATAGTTATGCATTTTGACCCTAGTTGTTCTTCAGCTTCATGTGACCTTTTTAGGAGAGTCTAGCACAATTGTCTAAAGAAAAAAAACTGGGGCTGTTGTTTCATGTTTGGAGTTTGTCTTGATACTTCTTTTGAAATCATGATCTGAGCTGCTGGTGGTGCTTAATTATGTAGTACTTATACAGCTTGATTTTGCTTGTGGTTTATTGTAAATGAACTCCTTATTTAAGGGATAGTTGAAATGTTGTTTATATTTGTTGGATGCAAATGTTAGCTGAGACCTAGAATGAAAGGGAATGTGTAATCAGTACTTATCTCTTCATAACCCTGTTTCTGCCAAGAAAATTGGTTGGGAAACGTTGTTAGCTTTTGGTGGGACATAAGCTATTGGCTATAACAATGCTATCTCTTTTTGATTGTGCATGTCAAAAAGTTAAAATCTGCTTGGCCCCTGTATTTTGTTAGGAATATTTGCCTGACTTGCTAGTATATCCTGCGCAGGTTCCAGTAAATCTGGAGAACATGAAAATAAAAAAGTTTGTACTGATCCATGGAGAAGGTTTTGGAGCATGGTGTTGGTACAAGACTGTTGCCCTTCTAGAAGAAGCAGGGCTGCTTCCTGTTGCCTTAGATCTTACTGCCTCTGGAATTGATCTTACAGACACTAACAGTGTCTCTACATTGGCAGATTATTCAAAACCTTTAACTGTTTATCTTGAAAACCTTCCTGAGGATGAAAAGGTTTGGATGTGTGACATTGAACATAATTTCAACTTGAAGGATGTTATGGTCTACCGTTCTGTTATTTTTCATGAAGATGGAAATTTTGCAGGTTATTCTTGTTGGTCATAGCATTGGTGGTGCATGTATTTCTTATGCATTGGAACATTATCCTCAGAAGATCTCAAAAGCAATTTTCCTTTGTGCTACAATGGTGTCTGATGGTCAAAAACCTTTTGATGTTTATGCTGATGAGGTATCAGTTAGCTTTTTAATTACTTATGTGATTAGTCGAATTTGTGATAGTAGTGAAATACAATCCAACTAAAATTATTGACAAAAGCCTCCCTAGTTTAGTACCATTTTTTACCAATTATTTTATTATATGGGGCATATATTGAACTTCATCCTTTCCTGAAGGTTGGGCAACCTCTAATAAACTATTTCTGGAGGAAAATGTTCTTTATCTTGTATGTTGAGTGACATGTTTTATTTAATTAATTATTTATTTTTCATCCTGTTTTACATATTTCTTGGAAGTTCTCACCAATTATCTACACTGCAGCTAGGATCTGCTGAACGTTTTATGCAAGAATCAAAGTTTTTAATACATGGGAATGGTAAAGAAAAGCCCCCCACAGGATTTATGTTTGAGAAGGAGCAGATGAAAGGGTTATATTTTAACCAATCCCCAGCGAAGGTACACAGGATTTAAGACTATTTCTAACTTCTTTTCCTTCCTCCAAATTTTTTTAACTACTATATATTGACTGCTCATTCAAATTAGCTACTTGAAGTTGTACGATTTGTGCCCATTTACCCTCAATGATGATCGTACCTTTTATCTTCTTCACTGTTAATCCACTTGTAAGCTTAATGTTTGTAGTAGACTTAAATTGAGTACAATTGAGTAACTGGATGACTATAACCCCCATGATTGATCAATCTAGCGTAATAAGGCAAACACAACTTTGTTCCACCACCTTTAGTGTAACCGAAAGGCAATTTTGTATTGTTGTTGATCTATGAGCTCTGAGTGTTGTAGATAAAGTACTCAGAACTCAAAATTAGCTTGTCGCTATTCAACCTTGCTTTAAGTTGAAGAATTAAACCCCTTCCTGTAAAAGCTCGTGTTTTGTAGTTTTGTATTACCCCCTTTCCAAATTCTTTAGGACAGACCTCTTATTTCATTTATAATTTTCAATTACATTTTCTTCAAGAAAGATAGGCCTTTATTGAACAAACATTCCAAATGATTTCTTAAATTGTTTTTTTATTTCAAAAGTTGTTTAATTTCCCCAGAAAAGGAAATGATTTCTTAAAGCTAACACTACCAGAGTACCCTTGACAAGTCTATGTCAAGGATACGTGCTTCTATAGGTGGTTAAATCAGGATTCTTATATTGATTGTGATTTTCACTAACTGTGACTTGAATAATAGCAAAAGGGATTGGGATTCAATCCCTTTTGCTTTTACTTGATTCTTGTCACATTTATTCCTTTACCAAAATAGGAGAATTTGATCTATCTCTTGGTTTGCTATTAAGGTTTTGCATGAAATACTAAAAAGTTGTTGCAATTTGCTGTGCATGCATACTTGTGTTTTATTTGGTTGGAGGGGTACTGTTGTTTTTTATACCTGTTTTTTACTGCAACTCATAGCTGTTTCACCGGAGTGACCCTTACCAACAACAACCCTGTAACATTCATTGTTTGTGTCTTCCATGTTCTTTTCTTCTTTTTCTGGTTTGGAGGATTTCATATCCTCACCAAACTCATGCCTGACTTCTCTTCTAACAATCTTACAATACCACCTCATGTTAACTTGTTAATGGATACTTTTTGCGCAAGTATGAGCATGGCTTATCTGACCAAAAGGGGCAACCCTACTACTATGACACCCATAAAAAACACTGCTGGTCTTTTTCTAACATATTTTGATTCACAAGGAGCAAAATTGTTGAATTTGTAGGGTTCCTTAACGTTTCCTTGTTCTATTAACCATTTGGGATCCGCAAGGTGCTGGCTTTGTGACAAATGTAACGAGATTATTTCAAACATGGGTGAAATGTTCATATATATTAAAGCATTGGCTTTTATGTTTTAAAGGGGTATATCTTTGGACAAACATCTCCAGAAGCACTTCTAGTGGAGGAAAATATGCAGAAAAAATATTAAACGAGTTTTTCTATTAGCAAAAATTCGTTTATGCACAAGTTAAAAATAAGAATTTAAAGAAGCTTTTCTACAAATTAGCTTATGCATAAACAAATTTTAGCTTATGAAGAAACTCATTTCATTTTTTTCACTCTCTTATATGTGCTTATGAAGAAGTTTGTCAAAATGACACTAAGTATTGTTATGTTAAGATGATCTTTGTTCTTTTCATGATAAATGTGCTTTCTATTGATATTTTTGTTTTTATGGATTAATACTCTGACATAACTCTAGAAATCACACGGTATGTTTCTAGTTTCTTAATACTATATCCCCTAAGATGGGTCTGTACACATTACATATGACTAATACATATCTGAAACATTTTCATTCATCTTTCATGCTCCATGTTTTATCTAAAGGTTGGGATCATAACCGTATTCAAATAAAAACTATTATAATAATTTAATTTATTATATGATGTAAACCAAGTCCTAATTGAAGGAATTAGGAAGGTGAAATCCCTTAATCTTGGAGTCCCCTGGTTGTTGCATTAACACTTACAAAGTTCTGATAATATTTGAAATGAGTTGTATTTCAGGATGTTGCTTTAGCCATGGTTTCCATGAGACACAGCCCTCTTGGTCCAATCATGGAGAAGCTATCTTTATCTACCGACAAGTACGGTACCGGACGCCGCTTTTACATTCAAACATTGGATGATCGTGCACTTTCACCAGATGTGCAAGAGAAGCTTGTGAGGGAAAATCCACCTGAAGGAGTTTTCAAGATCAAAGGCAGTGATCATTGTCCATTCTTCTCCAAGCCACAGTCTCTCCACAAAATTTTGGTGGAAATAGCTCAGATTCCATAGCTTAATGCACAACATGATTTCTTTTATCTTTCCATCTTAGGATTACAGAACTGTAGAGTTGATATGGCTTTTCTATATCGACCATCAAACAGGAGCCCAATTGGGAGAATTTTTTTTTTTTTTTATAATCTTGGGATATAATAGAGGAAGAAATATATTTTCATCCCATTTAAGACAAAAATACCATTCAATTAGTAAGTAACTTCTGTAAGTGTTTTTTCGTTTCATGTGTATAGAAATATTTTGTAGTTCTAATTCGGCTTTGACTACTATTTTTTATGCAATTTGTAACTCAACATAAAAATGAAAATAAGCCTTTTTATTTTTTATTCATTCATTCTCAATCATATAATTAACGCTGCAAAAATGTCTTGAGCTAATCATTGCCCTGTATAGCTGAAAATGTGGATTATTTTTTTTACAATCCCATACACGTTAGAACAAACTTGAGGGTGAAGCATGTTGCTATGCGTTGAGCTAGGCGAGCTAGTAAATTTAGCTCAACCCAATTCAGTGTCAAAATAGCCTATAGAAAAACTGACAATAGTACTTAAAATGTAATCTTTTAAATACTAAATGCGTAAATTATCCTGCAAAAGATTGCTCCAATCTTGATCAAATGTATCTGCATTAAATATTTTTCTGATGTCAGTCCATCTGCACAAGATGAAAGAGTCAATGATCTATTATCCTTCCCATCTGTACCTGAGGAATCTTCTTTCGTAGTTTATAGTCTTGTAGGATACTTAACATAGAGGGACCATGGAACATAAATCAAATACCTAAACAGATTCTCAAAGTACATTTCTATTGGGGAAGATGCATTCATGGTGGTGGGGTTTTAGAAAATCCGTATACGAATACGAGGAAGCAATTTGACTTGCCCGTAGTTTTTTAACCAACGAGGGCATAGTTGACCATCCATTTCTCTTCATTGCATCAATCATTTTGTTTCATTACCTTCTTTCTTAGTTATAAAAAAATAGCCTCACTTGTCCAGAAACTCTTAACTAGTAAGCAATCAACTAGTTTAGTGCTATGTCTATATCCTGTCTACCAAATGCATTCGGGTAAGGAAACACGGAATGCACATATACGTAAGTACATACATACTGATTGATTAAAGTTGTAAGTTGGTGAATTAGAGTTCTGATACATAATATTTATTTAACCACCACCAAGCTCATAATCCTTTCATAATTTTCACACACCACCATTCACCAACCTATTAACAGCAGATATTACTACCGAAAAGAAGCTACAGATCAATGACCTAGTTGGTACAAGTCAAACGCCAACATTATTGAGCTTCACCACGCAAAGTAAGTTTTAGCACAACGGGGTCCCTCTTGATCAACTCCAACACACAAAGATCTCCTACTGATAGATCGTTGTCCCTCATAAATTTAGTCCATCCCCTACATATTATCATTGCTCTGCTACCATTATGATGTACGCAAGAAACATCCCACGCCTCTCCATTACTATTTTGGAGCATCATACCAACACATGGCTTCAGATACTTGCCAGCAAATTCACTTGACACGTACTGCACAAGGAAGGCCAGCTTTAATTTGATCAGTGCAAAACATTATGCATGCATAATTCAGTACTTTATTTTAACTCTATTTTGAAGCTAAATTATCCTCACCAATCGATCAGACTTGATTACACAAGTAACAAAAGGATTTTTTGGCTTTAATCTATCACTGGCAGTAGCACTAGTAGTAGCAGTGGCAGCAAACTTTGCTATCTCCCAAGGAGAGTGGTTTTCACTGCATCCTCTTTTGACTTGTTTCCCATGAGAAAAATCACTTTCTTTCTTCCTTCCTTTACTCAGTCGTATTAAATTCACTTCATCTTCATCACTAGATTCTACCACATTCTCCTCCTTAAGTTCTTTCTTTTTCGTTTGATAGCTGTGGTGCTGATCATCAAACTTGGACCTCTTCCAATTCTCCGAGTTTGTTTCTTCATTATTACCCCGAGTTTTGCGAGGATAACAAATCTCAGCAGAAGTAATATCAAATATAAGAACACGAAATTTTGAATTCCCCACATATCTGAAAATTAGGTGTGAACCATAACCAAGAGAATAGTATTTTACAAACTCTCGCCATTTGCTGCGGAAGAAAACATCTTTACCACACTTCTTCAACCTCATTCTCCAAACACGACCATCGGGGACAGTAATCGTAGCAACAGTTGATAGTTCATCTCCAAATCTTTTTATAAATTCCTCGGGAATTCTCTGCAGTGATCACTTATTAAATTGGTTAGAAATCAATAGTTATAGGGTGACTCGTCTATGGGATTTTCCTTAATTTAATTTACTCCCACGGATTGTTTAAGCTAAGTAGATAATTTATACTGCAATTAAGTAAAGAAAAGAAGCACCAAAGAACAACTTGCTCCCCAGGTCACGTGCAATGCCAATTAGAGTGGCTTTGACACTTTTAGACTGGATTATGCATGCAATTTAGAAGATATAGTAAAGTCATAACTGTTAACTTTATCAACGACATCAAATGTCCAAACATGCAAAGTTACAAAGTATCTCAAACCGAGTCATTGAAAATCTTAAGCGATCTAAGAATAGAAAAAGTATTTTCGACAAATCCACAATGGTGAGAGAAAGAAACAGAAAGGAGATAAGTATATCTGTGCGTGCTAGGCGATACCCCGTGTGATGTAAAGAGAAAAATGGTTCATTTTTTGAAATTAATATATTTCTAAGCATAAAAGTAGAAACAATTAAGTTAATCCTTTCCTCCAAGTTCTATGTTTTCCGGTTGTGTGCATCTACAACATAGACAATTCTCTAAAAGCAAGGAAGGAAGCATGTAAATAATGCATGATAGAGGTGAAAGAAAGAAGAGAATGCTTAAATTTGGTTGTTACCATTTGGTTAGCATGAATGGCAGAGGGAAGTATGATCTTCAGAAAATGCTTAGAGTCCCTCTCCGCGGAGGTTCCATCATCCTTTCTCCGCCGAGGCTGCATCGGAATGAGGGATTCTACCCGCAGAGTAGAGAGCAGAGAGTAGAGTGTTCACAATAAACAATGGTCTCTGATGTAACGTAACACCACACTGCCTTGCTTCAGAAAATATTATATTTACAAAGAACAAGAAAGAGAATCTTTTGAAGTTATTATTTTTAGTTTTTATAAAATCAACATTTTTTTATTCATTCTTTGTAATCTTTTCATCTCAACCTTCTTTAGCATGATCAACTTCCAAGACAATAATATTCTTGTTCTGTTAAAACTTCTCACCTATTTCTCTTCGACAAGGTTGATTCTCTCATTTTCCACCATCGTTGTCTAACATTAAATAGAATTAGTGTTTGAGTTTGCATTATATTTATTTGATCAACTTCTACACCAGTCATATAACTAACAAAAGGTCACCAGGGCTAATGGAAAATCAGTGTGAGAAACTAAACAAGTTTTTTTATCTTTTCAGTTTAATGACACCATCAAACAAGTTTAATTTTAGTTACTGAAGACTAAAAACAGTTTTTGAAAATAGAAATCTCGCATATCTTCCTCTTTAATTGTTTCATCTTGCTTTATAGTGTTGTTCTTTCCTAAACTTTCCCTCTACTTATCTAAAAAGGTAATTTTCTGATTTTCCTTACATGTACCCAATCCGTACGAGTCTGTTTCAACCAGTCTGATTGCAACTACTTGCCTACGATGCATTTTGCTGCAAAAATTATCCAGCAATTATTTTGGCTTTTCGCGAGTTTCCTCAATTCGTTATGTACGACAATATTAATATTACAACTTAATTCTAAAAGTGTAATTGCAAAATAGTTGCATAACAACAAGTGTCACCAAATGATCTTTGACGTGAATAATTATAATTATACTAAATACAAAAAAAACCCTGTTTTTGGCGAATTTCTTTTCTTGGGCAAATTTTGTAATCCTCCTTTATCTTTTAAAAGAAATCCTCATTCATGGAATATGGGTGATTCTTGAGGACAAAAGGCGTTATGATATCCTTACAATAACTCGTACACCATGTGCACGATAAAAATATATAAGCCTTCAAATACAAAACACTATATAACTAACTACTTGTCCCTTGAACGGGACAAGATTTTTCACTCTTTCCAGCATACCGTCCCATGTTATGTACCAAGAACTTTACAGTTACATCCCAAACACAAACATTTCCCAACACTGAAATAGTCTCGATTCAAGGAGACACAAACCATAATGGGTCTAAACCCACCCACATGGTTAACAATGCCAATCTGTTTTCAGTAGATAATCATGTCACGAGGTCTGTAACTTCGCATTCCCTTTATTGTGCAGGCTCCGTCAGGCAAACACCTGGATCATTTTACTGCAAAATTTCAGGTGTGACATGATCAGAAGACAGAAATTTCAGTAAAGTAAGAATGATATTAAACACATGCCAAAGCAATTGATTCCTAGCTTATGAGACCCGGTAAGTTTACTGCTTGTGATTAGAAGGTTGCAAGGTTATAATTTCATGAACAATCTCTCAGGTAGTGGGGGTAAGGCTGCACACACACACACACACACATATATATTATATTATATATATATATATATATATATATATATACACTCCCCCAACTTCCCAGGTGAGGGCATCTAGCACTGAGCCACCCTTCTTAAGAATCAACATTTAACTATTTAAGTAGTCCTTTTAACAGAAGTGTAACATGCACATACCTTTCAAGTCGCTTAGAATCAGGTTGACCTGAATTAGTTGTGGATGATGTCCTAAGCAGAGACCGTAGCTCAACATTGCAGGAATGATACCCTGACTGAGTATACATAATCTGCAAATAGCATTACTAAAGTTAATAGCAATATTGGATGTAAACAATACTCTTTAACAACTAGATCAATGTCCAACCTAACTAAAGGTAATGCAGCACCTTTTGTGATTACTCGAGAACATTTGTTCCACTATATAAGCACAAGGTTAAAATTTATGTAAAAAAATCCTCTGTCAAATCTTCCAGTATGGAAATAATGATCTACAATACCAGGTGGCAAATTTGACATTTAGAGGCATCGGATAAACTTATTACGGTAAGCAAGGACCAGATTACATGATGGTAAGGAAATCTAGTAAAGCAATCACCTCACTCAATAGAATGCAACTAACAACACAATAATAGTATATCAAATAATCCAATCATTGGAATGAGAAATATTCTTACATAAAGTTGGTGCTGTTTGTTACATGGGCCCCACTAGGTTTTCTTTTATTAGCTAGAGAAAGAAGCATGGAAAGTGACATGCACTCACAACATAATTATGTTGTACAGATAGCATATTCTCAATTACAAAACCACCCACAATTGATTGAGGCAAACTACGTTTTTTTTTTTCAAATTTTATTTTTTTTATAATGAAAATAATAATATCATATTTATTTTATATCAAATAACCTTAAAAAAATATTTTCCACTTTATTCCACAATCATTTCTCTTCAACCCCATCACTTCTATTTCCACTCATTTCTCACATCTTTGTCTTTTCTCTTTCATTCTCTCTATTTTTTCCTCCACCAAACGGTGCATAAGTCAAGTAACTTCAACTTTTCATATTCAAACTCTCATGTACTACAGTAATGATAAGTCAATAATTTAATAACAAGTGTTGCAAAATGCAAGTATTCTCCAGGGAGAAATCAACATCAATGAAGCAACTATACCAATCTTCCAAAGCTAGAAAAGCAAAGAAACACTGATAGCAAACCCCCTACCATCAAACAGAGCCTACCCCAACCATAATGGTGAAAAACGCAAGTTAATCAGATGCATAACCCCCCTAGACTTCTGACGAAGAAAAAGTTTTTGATGCTACTGAGAAGATTGTATCTCAATTACATGACAATTCTAATTCTGAACATGCTGCAAGCACCTATTTTCATTGACATTACATATTCTTTATCATTGTGCATTAGAAAAGTTCAAACCATGGATTGACACTTGATACAGTTAAAGAATCTAATATTTTCATTTATTGACATAGTTGTCTATAAAGCAAGTTTCAATCTATCATCTATAAAGCCTATTTTAAACTGACCTGAGCACTAAGTTTCGAATCTCACTTCAGAATGAGAATCCTTTACCTTTTCAAAGCTCATCATCTTATATGTAAAGAAGCAAGAACTTCTACACTTTGATGTCATACTAATCAAAGATTTAAGCAATGAACTTCTAAAATGACTACTTGAGACATTGTTTTGCATTTGCTTTTAAAAACACATTCATATATACACATAATGAGAGGATTCAAAAGCTTTACTACATGTGAAATTATATTTCCAGGTCTTCCCAATTCATACTGTGATTTTGAGTTCCAGTTTTCAACACCAAATGCAAATACTGATTGAAAAGATATATTTCATATGATATCTTGAGTTAAGAGGGCCAAGAACATATCAAGATTTTGTGAATATACAATCGATCCATCAAACATTCACTTAAAGAAATATTACTCTCTTGGGACAAATAAATGCAAAATACTTTGAAATGAAATAGAACTTGAAAATTACAACATTAAATGAAATTATACTGAACAGGAAGATGGGTAGAGAAGATTCGGTCATTAATACCGGTATAATGAAAAAAAATTTATGGTGTGAAGCAAAGGTCTACTGAGTACGGGGTAAATTCCACCACCATGGCCTTTCCATCCTTTTCTCCTTTCTATTTAACTAAATTAGGAATAATGGAAGGGCTTGCCATTGGTCTATGCTATGTTTTTTAAAACCGTATCTAAATCAAAAGTCCTAAACTGCCATCAAGGTAAGGGAGCAAGATAAGCAGTTGAGGACCAACATTCCTAACCTATTATAAAGTAAAAATAGTCAAACAATCACGTCACAGTCACAAGTAACCAACCACCAATTTCACTAGAGATTTTCCAAGTGATAAATCATAATATCAGAATGAGGTGCTAATCCCCCCAATACAATAAGTACTGAATCTCAGGTACAAGAGACAACAGATAATAAATGCAGATCAGGCTTACCACATATTTTAAGACCCTGACGAAGATTTCTGAACCCAGACTTGCTTCTGCAAACATAAAAAGTACTTTACACACGATGAATCAGCCAAACAGACAATAAAAAATACATCAGCATATGACATGTATACCTCATAAGCACTATGCCCAACATTTTTCTTGGAAGGTTTCCCTTCACTTATACTGACTGCACCGTCATCCTTCACTACATAGGAAGCTCCACGACGTGCAAAATTTCTTTGAGAACCTAGAGAGTTCAAAAGTATGGTTGAAACAAATTTCCATTAAAATAAGACAAAATACACTTTATTATCAGTCTTTGACATATAAATAATAATTAGAAAGAGACTCCAACCATTCTCAATAGAAGGATTGCCTCGTCCACCTGCAGAAGCAGAGAATTCACTGCCCCTGTTTCCAGAAGTAACATTTTCTTTCAATTCTCCTGTTGAGGCAAGAAAAATACCACCAAATTCAGCTTTATTTTTGTGGCAATGACATCATAGTGTTTTCATTAAATATTGGGGAAAGAAATATATCATTTATTTTGTTTGTAAACAACCTCTAGCCTAGTCAATAGTCATACCTTCAGTTGATTCAAGATTTGACAGTGTAGGTTGTGCCATTGAGGATGATGAGTGGTCATTACCAGCATGTGAAACATCAGAACGTCGAAGGGGTGTCCAAACACCACGATCAGGTCTGTCCTTGTTTCTAGTTCGTTTTTCTGTTTTCTCACCACTACCCAAACCATGCGGATCCCTTCTCACGAACTTTTCATCCAAAGCCCTTTTAGAATCCCCTTCAGAATTAACTTGTGCAGCGTCATGATTTGAAAGTTGATCATTTAACCCAGACCTTGAGCCAAATGAACGAGATGGTCGCTTCCCATTCTCTGAGCTTAAAATTTGAATTTTGTGTTGCATAGACTGACTTTGACGAGCTTCATTATTCAAAAGTATGCTCCTAATCAATCTTCCACTAGTTTCACGTCTATGGTTCTGTTTCACAGAAGTTGAAATAGGAGAATTTCCAGACTGTATGTTTTGCTGTTTTCCTGTACCCTCAGTGGCCTGAATATTCCATAAAATATGTTCATAATAACAAATTTGCAATGAGTTTATCAACGTTTGAGTGCAAGTTTCACAGTACATTTGAGTAATTTAACAGCTTTGAAATAATTTCCGGAAGTAACACTCAATTACTTACGACCAGAAATAATTTTCTGGTGTCTACTTGAACACACCAGCTTAAACATAGTATAGCAAGGGAGAAAAATATATTTTTATTTAGGTTTTCTTTATTATGAAGAGTATCTTCTTAGAAGCAAGTAATAGATATCATCACAATGATATGATTAGAGGTGTAGCAAAATGGGGATAAGCAGGTATTGTTGAAAAGAAATGAAACCTTTATAGGTAAAACAAAACCTACACTGGGAATTTCCCGATGCTTCCCTTTCAGAAGAAGGATTTTTTTCTTTCCCGAGTCAGAAGACAGCGGAATTCCAGAAATAGAACCTTCAATGCCATGCACTGCATATTCATCAATCACAAATACGAAAATTAAAACACTTAGCAGCAAAAATATATGAAAATCAAACTTAGCACTAATATACTACTTCTGAATCAAAAAAATGAAAAGTAAAAATGGACGATTGGATCCCATGCTAAAAACAGAATGCAGTTTTAGCTTGTCTCCCAAAGAGGGTTGGTTCCAACCAGTAGAGAGATGCAACATTCAAAAAGGAAAATGTAAACTACTGAACAATGCACAAACAATGGGAACCAAGTTCAGAACTCAATCAACACACCATCCAGATTAAAGAAGTTAGACTTTTTAGAAGTTGAAGCAAACCATTGGTATCAGTTCCAAATAGAATTGCAGTTCAAACAAAGGAGTGACCTTACAGCAAGAGTCATAATATAATATATATGTATCTGTGTGTGTGTGTGCACGTGCGCATGCATTATTTTACTTTTATAAAATTAAAATTCTATCATTTTAATTTAAACTCATTTTTTATTTCTACGCTGACTTTAGCAACGCATCTACCTATTAACTATACACCCACCATTTTTTAGTTTCCAGCATTATTTCATCATTCATATGTACCACCACCCTATTAATGATTTCTATCTAATAAGATGCAAAACCAAAAAAACTAACATAAATATGTGAATATACTTGCCTCACTTGATACAGAAGAAATGTAAGGTAAATAGTCAGTAGAACATGTATAGATTCCTATAATGTATCTAGGCTAAATAATTCCTCTATAAATAGGGCATAACTTTTGAGATGAATAGTCCCTTCTCTTTACTTGGACATACATTTTGTGAAATAGACATTCAGAAAAATGACACATTATTACACTACAAAGCTGCTACCTTTCTTTGAAGCATTGGACATGTCCCTCATCTTTTGCTTGTTATATTCAAAGGTTTAGGACACGTAAGGGCATCTGTATCTTTGGTTCGGGAAAATTTAGTAATTTGAGATGTCAAGGGCACCTTGTCCTCACCTGGGTATAGTGGAGTACTTTGTCTTTAACAACACTAACATTTCTCTAAAATAGGGTGAAGACTTAACATTAGTTTGTCTTTATAATAACTCATATTTGATGAATGTGTAAGTTCACATATCAGTCTTCCTCAACTAATTAGTTATCCTATTGGATAGTCCATACATTTTTAAGATGTGCAATGGTTTTTAATCTGATATGTGATTGCATTAATGTAAATGAAGAACAAGTATGTTACTTTAAAAATGCAGCCAAATAAGGCTGTATTTGAATTGATGTTCTGTTTCATTGAACAATTACTGTGAGAGTAAAGTTTCATCGAATGTGTTTTGGAAATCAGGATTGATGTAAAATAAACACACTTAATTAAGACATCATGCCCGAGGCAGTCATAAATGGGAGGTTCATAACACACATCATAAGATCCTACAAAATTTATGAAATTCATATATATATATATATATATATATATATATATATATATATATATACCAAATATTTAAATATTGATAAGCAGAATATAAAATAATAAGCAAATATAAAGGGAGAGGAAAAGTCCCAGTTTTACCCAAAAGAAGATGAAAAGTCTCTTTTCTTAAGGCTGAAAAGTGAGAAGATATCAGACTTTTAGGTGGAGTGCATATTGGGCTTTAAAAGAGAAAAATGGGTTATTAGGCTTTGAAGAGGTGCGTGAGAAATATAATTAGGTTAGGTCAAAAACACATAGGACAGAAACATGTGCCGTAGCCGCCACACCCTCATGACACAGTCGCCTCACTCACAACAGTACAGAGACATCACCGCCCATATGATGCTGCAGCCATGCGATGTTGCACCCATGCAGATAGAGACATTGCACCCACACGAGTCTCAATCTTGAATGGCAATCCCATGTGATCCGTTAAAATCGCAATGAGATGACACAGATTCAAAGGGAAAGAAGATTGTAGATTTGTATGATCTTCTGTTCCAAATCGCAATTTTGACTTCCATGATGCCCACCATACAGCATTTTATAAATACATCTTAGGAATTAAACCATAAGCAATGAACAAAAATGATTGAGTTGCAAGATACTGCAGAGACAAGCTGAGGTCATCATATTCACACAGGATGTCAGGCATCTTAACTTAAATATGACTGCAACTAAACACAAAATACACATTGATTTGTAACAGATTGGCACTCTGTTCATGAAGTGAAAGTTGATAAGAAAACATTAGATGTGGAGATGCAGAATTACTAATAAAACAAAATCAAAAGTCAGAAAAGATGAATTACATGCTTCAAATTCAGAAATTCCTTTCATACTCGATTCAGCTGATAGATCCTCTCGCTGGGGGACGACAATAAAGGCTGACTTGTCCTTTGACTCTCTACGAGCAGCACTCTTGGCATTGTCCTTCTGAACATACTGACAATAATCAAAGCCAATTTTCAGTAAGTAACACAATCCACTGTTCTTTTTGCAAGCATAAAAAAACATCTATATATCAAGTAAAGATAAAAAATCTTTAAAATTATTAGCACTAGAAAAATAAAAGAAGTCCAAATGCAAAGAAAAAAGTTGACGAGACAATAGCTTGATAGTATTTTCAAATGCTACAAAGAGTAACACTAAACACCTTGGCCATGTATCGAGAAATAATAGTTGTTCTTATATCAAACCTTAAATGTTATCTTCATAAGACAAAACATAATGAAAACACACATGCACTTGGGAAACCCTTCCTTAAAAGCTAGTTGTTCAGTAGGGAGATCCGAGACATACAATTATTATAACAGTTAGATGAAAAGAAATTGGATATATATATATATATATATATATATATATATATATATATATATATATATATATATATATGTGTGTGTGTGTGTGTGTATGGGTGCATTGTTTAATAGTCTTTTATTTTTGCTTATTATATTTTTACTTTATATGTATTTCTAATGTTTATAATATTTATAATTTTTTTATTATTATGGAGCGTATTATATTGTTTAATGTTTTATTTAGCTTTTCTTACTATCATTATTTAGTTTATTATATCTTTATTAATACTATTTTTTATTTATTATATCATATATTATGGTTTATTTGTTTTTTATTATTACTATTTAGTTTAACATTCTATTACTTATGCTTCAAATTTTTTTATATATTTTTATAATTAATATTATTTAGTTTATTATATTATAACATAAATAACAATCAAAGTAAAAAGTTAAGAACCGACCCAAGAAAAAAAAATGGTACAGAAATGTTGGACTCAAAGTGGACACAACTTGAGGGTTTGAGGCCCAACAAAAATAAAATAATGCTAAAACCCTAACTAGGACTTGATCGTGAAACAAACTCAGGTTTTGAAACAATGCCATCCCCATAGGTGAAACTAAAAGGCCCCCAGACAGAGCATCGAGATGGAAGAGTGAGGAAGCCGGCAGTGGCATGAGGCATAGAGGCTACCATGCATGGGATTTCAATTTGGCTCAAGAATTACAGTGCCAATATGCCCTGGAGAAGTGACTGAGGTAGCCCTCCACTGTTGCTATAGTAGTCGGTGGCTATTGACAGAGACTGTGTGCCTCACTAGCACGATAGCAGCTTCTCTGGCTGCTATTGACAGCATTGAATATTTATTTTTACAGTTTTATTATTGTGATAAAGAAGTTGAACAGGCACTATAAAAGCAAATAGATAACTACATGTATGCCATCACGTATTTAATCATTTCTATACACTTGACTTCAGTTCACCAACAGATTGGTTTCTAGGCATCAATAAATTCCCTTTAATTCTTTGCTCAGCCACTCAGTAGATTAATATTATTATTGAACATTAACAGAATTAAAATTAAAGGGCCACTAAGGAAGCAATAAGTCAATAACAACATAGATTATATTGGTATACCCCTATTAACTAAAAAATTACAGTTTTATGAAAATGAAGTCAAAGCTTGAAAATTATTAAAGTGATACGCACCCACAACAGCACATATGCATTCGATTACAATTTACAAAGGCTTACCTTTTTCTTTTCAGATCCTCGTTTAGTGCCTGAGCCAGGCTTGCCAGGCAAAGCAGCTCTGGATCTTCTGCTAACTTTTGCCACTGCTGACGAAGCCTATCATTTGTTAAAAATATAAGTGGAGTTTTATATGTCAACACTCAAGCAGGAAAAACACCTAAACTTATATTCATTTGTGATATAATAAATTGCGAACATATAATACCAGAACAATTTCTTTCACCCAGCACAGCAGGAGAGTAAGTTATAAGCTATATAATTATGTTTAAAGGCAGAATATAGATGAAGGGTGCATATGATAAACTGCAAATATTGAGGTAGCGCATTTGCCATATTTTATGCAGTGAAAAGTTTATCACAACCACTTAAGGCACAAAAATCTAGTGAGCAACACAAAATTTGAAAAAAATGCATACGCTAAATCCTGAGAAATCCAGAACAATTCAATTGGAAAGAGCAAAATACAGAGAACTTGTAAACAATATGAAACAGCTGTAACTACAGGCTTCACTTTCAAACCCCCTGCCCCCTTCCCAAAACACAAAAAATGCCCTGGGACGAATTTATTTATAATCTTTCCCAATATCAATTTATGATCCAAGTAAGTTATGATGAGGAACATATATACAATGAATCATAACACTACAGAACATGAATCATAACATTATATAGCATGATCATAACACAGAACTTAGCCTAGCTTCAGAAGAGTAGTACATATTAAGTAAAATACTAGAGAATAAATAAGGTAACTCAAATGCACAAATATATCATTAAATGTCTTTTTTAAATAAAGCCAGCTCAAGATCTAAGACCCAACTCAACAATCACAACTGAAATTGCATATTCTCATTAGCCCATTATATTAGATTTCAAAAGCTAAGTGATTCATTCTTCTTGATAACCTTTATTTACTTAAGGGCCTTCCATCAATTGTATCTTCATTTTAGGCTCAACTTACCAGGCACCGTTTGAAATATCATGAATGAGAACATGTTTGTGAAAGATTATTCAGATAAAATTAGTATCACTTTTACATAATATTGATTAGCTATATTACACAGCATGTGATACTTTTCACTTAAATTATATGCAGAACTCTCTTCAAACAAACCCCCATTTATAAGCAATAAACACACATCTAAACTTGCTCCTAAATGACTTTCATAATATGCAACAGTCCTATTTGTTGTCCTTAATGTGTGCTCCTGTCTTTGAATGTTAAAATGGTCCTTATATATATCTTAAACTTGGAGAAAATTGTTCTAAATTTAGAATTTTTAGATTTTAGGATTTCATTAATTTAATTGAAATCTCATAAATAGCAGCAGCCTATTAAAATCAAATGCATACCAGAAAAGCAATATTAATGAATATTTCTCACAAACAAGCACATGATGCCAAAATGAATTTATTCACTGTACATCTAAGGCCAATACCAGAGAGACAAAAGAAAAAAAAAAAAAAAGATGTAGATAAAGCTTTCTTTTAATCAACAGTTGAAAGCTATGAATTAAATGCACCTGGAGAACCTAAACATGATGCCAAAGAAATAGAAAAAGGACTCTTTACTCTTCAGACCCAGAATCATTACCTGCATACCAGTATCAACAGAGCGTTTCTGACGAACATATTCCATCAAGGGTGTGACAATAGGTGTTTCCTTGTTAGCCCCTGGAAAGGAGGATATAGCATGAGAACAATGGTACTGAAATTTGTCTTCAGAATCTCAGATAAACACATAAATATGGCAGATGACTTTCAGAGACAGAAGAGTCATGAGGCTTTCTAATGTTTATTTATCAATACACTTTTAGATAAAAGTAAATAAAGTGCAGTGGAGTGGATAAAGTAATAACTAACCACCTTGTTCAGCTTCTTTTCTTTCCAATTGTATCTCTGCACTGGGAAGATGCTCATGTGGCTTTGCAATGAGTTTGAGGAACTCCAGATAGTCAGGATCTATCCTTGTGAAATACAAAGAAATGATGATAGTCACAAATAAAAAGAGCACATGATGTAGCACTTTACACCAGCAGACAAGAAAAATTAAAATGATATCAACCTTTGTATATGGTCCCTTCACGTCCATCCTTCTTGGTACTTGGCTTCGGAGCACGCTGGGAAGGGGCGTACTCAACAATCGCTCTATGCTGGGCACCTGATTGAACATTACAGATTGATCATTAAAAAGAGAGGATACATGAGAGAGTTAAAGAGGCGAACTATAAGGAAAATAATTAGAAATAAATTACCTCTCTCATTAACAAAAACATGTCCATCAAAGAACTCAGCGAACTCGAAAACATCATGAGGACAGTTGAAGTCTATATACGCTCTGGAATGTTTCTGTCGCTTGTGACTGCAAATATGATTAGGGTTTTGTGAACAACACAACACAGGTAATGGTAATGGCAATTGATTTGTATGAATGAATGAATGAATTGCGTTGGATGGATTGAAAGGAACCTGGTGTTGCCGGGTCTGAAAGAGAACCAATTGTAACGCGAAGCGAAGTGTGAATCGATGTGTTGGAAGAGATCAGACTGAGTGAGAGAAGGGGGCAAATGCCTAATCACCACTTTCGTCTTTTCCCTATCAGAACGAACCTTCATCTTCCTTTCCATCTTCTCTCTCTATTTTTCATTCACAGCGTTCCCTTTCTTCTTCCTGTAATGTCTTAATTCCTTAGGCCAAACCTTTTCGACCCAATTCGCAACCAATTCACTACCGACTATCCGCACACCACCTTGTCTCCTGTAACCTAATTCCTCACAACAATTAAGGTTCTTTTTTACATAATAAGTCCTAATAATATTTCCTTTTCTCCGTTTATTTCTATATAAATTGTTTAAAATAGGAGATATATTAAATATAAACGAATTATTTTCCAGTAACGTATATTATACTTAATTCATATTAATGGATTTTTAGTTTATTCCTATTTTACTAGAATTTAATATTTATTAGTATCCTTTTTTTTTCTCCTCCCTTAATATATTCTTAGATTGTCTTTTATATGATTGATGGTTGACATGGAATGAAATTTGGTGAACTATAAAGAAGTAATAAATCCTACAAATTTTATGCTTAGACATTAGATATCTTTTAATAACAACAAATTTTCTCTAATAAAATAATATAAAATATTTTTAATCTATCAAAAAGTGGCGAATTCAGGTCTTAATCTACCTTAAGAGAATATTGTAAACTCTAAAAAAGCTATGCTAAAAATAAAATTTCAACATTGATAGATTTTATATGCAATTATGAACTTTGATTCACATGTTAATGGAACTAAAATCTTTAAATTAAAAATTATGCAAGTAGTTGAGTTTATATTTCTTCATTATTTATATGTGTATATTAAGTGTCCTTTTGAAACATAACAAAATAAATAAATAAATGAGTTTTTAGATAAATATTTTGTCTATGCATAAATTCTGGTATCTAGATTTGTATTTATTTATTGTATATTCTATTTGATAAATCAAATTTATAATTTTTATCTTTAAATTATTTAATTTGAATGATGATATTCTCAATCCAATTAAATTATTATCATTATTATTTTCTCATAGTAGTCAATTTTTCCATTCTAGGAGTAAAGTCACTCACGGAGCTTTTCAAAAGGACTTTCTACCCACACTTTATGACTTTAATATACTTTGGATTTGAAGTTGAGATTCATCTTGTTGGTAGTTTATGGCAGGTTTTAAGTTAAGCATTTACTATTATATAGAATAATACAAGTTCAATATTTCTTACTATAAATAAGTTTTAATAAAGATAAAATATAAATATGTAATAATAAAAAAATATCTTAAATTATTATATTTTTAAGTGTATTAAGGTTATAATTATTTAATACTATTTATATAATAATTTAGAAAAAATTTATAATATCATGATAAAAGAAATTGGATTTTTTTTTCATTTGAATTATGGATGCATAAAATGCAATTATGTTCAATTACCATTATTGATTAAGGATAAAAAATCTATTTTTAGAAATGTCGAAGTGACAGTATCACTAGAACACCAAAGGAAGGTTTAATAAGAGATGTCACTCAGATAATCTATCTCAATATTTCATGACAAACATCTTTTTAGTTGAGATTACAATGCCTACCTATATATATATATATATATATATATATATATATATATATATATATATATATATATATATATATATATATATATATATATATATATATATATAAATAGAAGGTGTTAGTCATTTTGAAGGTTGAACTATATGAGAGGAAGTTTAACGAATATCTAAACACCCTTGTCAATCATAATGGTAGGATGTTTAACTCTGTCTTGCAAATGCTCATGCTTATACTATTTCCACATGGCACACCTCTAGGAATATGCAATTGGGCATATCTTCATGCATGGAATCATTTTCCTTTTTATTCCTTAAGTTTGTTATGTTTTACTATTTTTTTAATCAATTTCTTAACGAATTGGAAGGTTGCATAAAATAAATAATATATAAAGCTTAAAAGTATACTTGGTAGATCCTACCTACAAGTTTAAAACAATTATCGTATCTTCAATATACAAGCTTAAGCTTTCGGAGTTATGTAGAACAAATTGGAGTGAATGTATTGATTCAACAAGATCATTATAAATTTAATGAGGTCAAAATCTATAATTTTATTCTATTTAAAGTGCTACAAAATTATGTTACATGATCAATCTATATAGATGGGCTATAAGATACTATTACATAGAAAAATTAAGTAATGTTATCTTAATGTTTTAAATACTTTGAAGTTAGATGAGTGAATATATCATAAGTATGTTTTAATTTGGTTTAATCGAGTTCTATTAGGTTAATTATGAATAAGCATTATTTATGTCCCAATTTCATGGATTTTATTAGTGCAAAATAGATTTTTTATGTCACATTTTTTTGTTGGATAATAAAATAATCAACTTAAAAAAAATGTAGTGATATTTTTTAAAATAATAGAAAAAGAATTTATGTTAGACTTTAAAGGGTCAATGTAAAAACTACTTTTTACATTGCGTAGGATCTTACCCGACATAAAAGTAGTTTTTACATTGGTCACTTTGAGTTATAAACTAAATTTTGCATTTTATTTCATCTAGGGCTTCTTCTTCCTCCCGCACGAAGATTGTTTAGTCGACGATGATGATAGCAACCATTGTAATACCTCTAATCCAAGAGTATTTTCTGACCACGGTGACCTCTATTCCTGCATTATGTCCCATTTGTGATAATTGACATTTCTCTCTGATTATATTCGAATTTTAGAATATTTTGAGTATTTTTAAGATTAGTAATCTATGTCTCTAATTTTATGTTTAAATTGAATTCGTGATTATTTTTTAATATCTCAATTATGATATTGCATGAATATCTCTACTATATTGTTATAGAAATTGAACCATTATTATTTTTTGTTGTCAGTTTATTTGTTTGATTCCTACATTTTTGTTGTATATATATATATATATATATATATATATATATATATATATATATATATATATATATATATATATTAAATGTGAATATGCATTCGTTTTGTTGAAAATTTTTAATCATTTTTTTCGGGGTTATATTAGATTCGACATTTGTTGGTGGTAAGAGCGGAGATCAATCTATTCCCCTATTGAAGGGATTGATAGCGGTCGTATTGCTAAGGAAAGGATACAAGTTGACATCGATTCACTCTCTAGTATGGTGTTAGACCCAAATGCTGCAAAGTTTAGGAGTTATTTGGGGTTCCTATCTCAACACTATGTTTCTATTATTATTCCATTTCGGGATGATGTTGAGGATATCGAAAAGAATCTCATATGACAAGATATTTAGGTATTTCTATTTTTATTGAACACTCCATATATTAATAATTGAATTTAGTATTTTTTGTAATTTGACAACAAAATTAAGACATTCCTAACACTAAGGTGATGAGAAAGAATACTTTATCATCAATTGCCACTATATGGATGGACTTCAAGACTTTCTTGACAAAGGAGTATGTATTTAGAAAGTATCAAGATGAATCTCCCTACCTAAAGTATCATATTAGTGAGGAGGATTAGTTGCAATTTCATATCAATTGATTTGACCCCTTTTGGCAGGTTAGTTATCTTACACTAATTGTACTTAATGTACTACTCTAATTTTATTATTTGTATTGTAGGATAAAATACTAGTTGTCCAAGAACATTAAAAGCTGAATGATGCAACTCATCTATTATCGTAGGGTAGGTATGTATTGTTAAAGCAGCGACTCATGAAGGTTATAGTAGAGTTAACAATACTTAAGTATGCTGACATTGCGTCTTCACCCCTCGCTATGAGATGTAAAAGACAGCTCATACAAGATCTGATAGACAAATGAGTTTTGAGTCTACACGAGTCATTGTTGAGAAAATTGTAAGTCAAAATAAATATATACAACATGTTAATTACACTCGCTTCTTCCTACATAATTTAATGTGTGACTTACCTATTGATGATTAGTTGCAGGATGATTTAGTTGAACAAGTCACTCAAGAATCATTTTTTCCCCATATCGAGAAGACATATTGACGATAGTCATAAGAAAACCAAAGCATCCAGGACGTGTGTTCGGTACTGGTGGATCTTGACACCTTTGTAATTACTTTGGTCCACCATCACGAAGGTCCACTACTGGCTCTTACAATTAGGAGACCTTACAAAAAATGGAGATACAATTTGAAGAAGAATTGAATTAAATACTATTTCCACATGGCACACCTTTAGTGCAAAATAGATTTTTTAAGTTACATTTTTTTGTTGGATAATAAAATAATCAACTTAAAAAAATGTAGTGACATTTTTAAAAATAATAGAGAAAGAATTTATGTCAGATTTCAAAGGGGTCAGTGTAAAAACTACTTTTTACATCAGGTAGAATCTCACCCGACGTAAAAGTAGTTTTTACATTGGTCACTTTGAGTTCCAAAGTTAATTTTGCATTTTATTTCATCTAGGGTTTCTTCTTCCTCCCACATGAGGATTGTTTAGTCGACGATGATGACAACAACCATTGTAACACCTCTAATCCAAGAGTATTTTTTTACCACGGTGAGCAATGACAACACCTGCATTATGTTCCATTTGTGATGATTGACATTTCTCTCTGATTATATTCGAGTTTTAGAATGTTTTAAGTATCTTTGATATTAGTAATTTATGTCTCTAGTTTTATGTTTAAATTGAATTCGTGATTATTTTTTAATATCTCAATTATGATATTGCATGAATATCTCCACTGTATTGTTATTGAAATTGAACCATTATTATTATTTGTTTGAGTCCAACATTTTTGTTGTTTATATATATATATATATATATATATATATATATATATATATATATATATATATATATATATATTTATATATGAATATGTATTCATTTTGTTGAAATTTTTTAATCATTTTTTTCAGGGTTATATTAGATTCGACCTTTGTTGGTGGTAAGAGCGGAGATAAATTTGTTCCCCTATTGAAGGGATTGACAGCGTGTTGCTAAGGAGAGGATACAAGTTGACATCGATTCGCTCTCTGGTAAGGTGTCGGACCCAAATGTTACAAAGTTTAGGAGTTATTTGGGGCTCCTATCTCGACACTATGTTTCTATTTTTATTCCATCTCGGGATGATGCTGAGGAGATATTTAGGTATTTCCATCTTTATTGAACACTCCATATATTAATAATTGAATTTAGTATTTTTTGTAATTTGACAACAAAATTTAGATATTCCTAACACTAAGGTGATGGGAAAGAAGATTTTATCATCTAATATCACTAAATGGAGGGACTTCAAGACTTTTTGGACAAAGGAGTATGTATTTAGAAAGTATTAAGATAAATCTCCCTACCTAAAGTATCATATTAGTGAGGAGAATTAGTTGTAATTTCATTTTAATTGATTTGACCCCTCTTGGCAGGTTATTTATTCTTACATTAATTATACTTAATGTACTACTCTAATTTTCTTATTTGTATTGTAGGATATAAGACTAGTTGTCCAAGAACGTTAAAAGTTGAATGATGCAACCCATCTATTATCGTAGGGTAGGTATGTATTGTTAGAACAACGACTCATGAAGGTTATAACAAACAAGACTTGAGTATGCTGACATTGCGTCTTCATCCCCTGCTATGAGATGTAAAAGACAACTCACATAAGATCTGATGGACAAATGAGTTTTGAGTATGCATGAGTCATTGCTGAGAAAATTGTAAGTCAAAATAATTATATACAACATGTTAATTACACTTGCTTCCTATATAATTTAGTGTATAACTTACCTATTGTTTATTAGTTGCAGAATGATTTAGTTGAACAAGTCACTCAAGGATCATTTTTTCCCCATGGCGAGAAGACATATTGACGATGGTCATAAGAAAACCAGAGCACCTAGGACATGTGCTTGGTACTGGTGGATCTTGTGACCTTTGTGATTACTTTGGTCCACCATCACGAAGGTCCACTACCGGCTCTTACAATTAGGAGACCTTACAAAAAATAGAGATGCAATTTGAAGAAAAATTGAATCAAATATGTCGATCCTTATAACAAAAGTTTGATAAGAAGTTTGAATCTATTGTTCGTTCCCAGTAATAGACTCAAGGAACACCTTACATAGTTTAAGATGATGTTGTTCGTGTAAGCACTAAAGGGAGTTGTGTTGATGTTACAGATCCCTCTGGGAAATATACTCACATTAATGCATCAAACTAGTATGAGTTATATGTTGAAGATGACCCCCCGCATGTAGTGACACTTGGTCGAGTTTTTTAGGGTAGCTCAGTCATCCATGATGTCCCTCTATAGCCAGACTGGACGTGGGTAGTGATTGATGAAGTTGTTGATGTTCCATTGTCTTTGCAGAATACAGAGGTTCAATTAGTAGGATAAGCAAGTGACACATTTTTAGCTGACCAAAATATTTTGTGATGCCACTTTCTGCACTAACAAAGGTAATATATGTAGTGCTCCTTTTCTTTTTTTGTATTCTTATAATTCTATAAATGTTTAACTATTTGTCTTATGCCGTGGTAAGTAGGTTATGAGATAACATGCTATTAATGAGGATGTGAAAGAAGTTGAGGATGGTCCAATATATATGCTTCTGACCATATTATCAAGGTTGAGGAAGAAATCAACTCAAATACAGTGGGACAGAAGAGTTCTTAGAATTGGTAATTCTCTTATTCCACTATATGTTTTCTTGTTTGATGCATTAGAGATTGTTAGGGAAAATTACATGTTGAACATTTCTACAGTACAGCTATGGATCGTGTAAGTCATAATTTCATTTGTGAGTAACATTACAATATGATATTTAACTTATAATTTATTGTTAGGTACATTGAGTATGGAACAAGAAAAATATGAAATATATGGATTTATTGAGCTTCAATCTATTCAAAAATCTATGAACACAAAAGTCTAAATCCAACCATATATGCAAACATGGATAGGTAACTCCAAAAGATATCTATACTTGACTTCATAATTGAAGGATTAGTCTTTTAATTTGTTATTTTTATTATGTTAATTTTTTTATATATAACTAATTTGTTTGTTATATAATGTAGGTCTCATTGACGAGTTGATTGTAATCATCCCAAGAGATTACATAGTGGTGTGGTTTTGTTTGTTGCAATGAAAACCCAACCAAGAAATCAAAAGACTATTACAAGGGTAATTGTATTTTTGTTTATTAAGTTTTAAAAGTCTAAATATATATTAACTAATATTTGTTTTTATTTCAATTATTATCTTCTTTAGAAGTAATATTTCAAGTGGAAGAAGCAAATAAAAAAATTTGCACTTCATTTATCTCAAAGTTAAAAAGTTATTGAGGCCATAATAATTATTGTTATACATAAACTTTGAAAATAACATTGTGTTTTATTTCTCATTTTAGTGAAATAGGCAAACAAACTCTTATGAATGTGACTACTATGTCATGTATTAGATGAAAATCATAATTTGTATAAGTATTACTAATTCTTAGACAGAGATGATTCATTTTAATAATAGTTAAATTTATTTGTTATTATAAGTACTATATGTTAATGACAGTTAAATTATTGTCTTAGGTATTTCAAGATTCATCGTCATTGCCACAATATGATATTTTATAAATAAAGGAGCAATAAGTAAGGTTTTTTTTACAAAATTTATAATATTTATAAACTTTATAAATGTAGTTAATTTTATATAATTTAAAATTATTTTGTTGTATTTAGTTGATAGTTAAATTTGTTGTAAACTCTAATAATTATATATAATTAAGTTATATTCTAGATAATTAAATTTGTATATATAAATATTTTTTTATGTATGTTTTCATTGCTAAATAAAAACCGAACTACATATTAACAAAAAAAATGTCAAAATTTATGTTAGATATGATCATATCTAATGTAAATTTATATTAATATGGACATACTTAACATAAATTTAATTATTTTTTTTATCAAATCCTTTTACGTTTTTTATACAGTCCAACATAAATTTACATTAGTTAACAGAGTTTATATAAATTGACATTCGTTAAAAATAAAAAATAACATAAGTAAAACCTTCTATCAACAATATGTTTCATAAATAATTTAATCATCATAGTAATTGTTTGAGAATAAGGAATTCTTTAAATTTAGAATTATTTGATACATTGTATTTCACATCATTCATACATAACGTAGGAAAATCCTTTTTTTTTTTCCCCGCATTCAGGACTCAGTTTTCACGTAGTTTCTTATAGTCTTCTTAGTTTCTCTCAAATCGATTAAGTCTAGGGTATACTTGTGTAAAAAGTTGACGGGTGAAAATCACAAATGCAACCATTGTAATCTAACACTACTAAAAATTCTTATATTTAATGAAAATAATTTTATAAAAATGACAAAAAATTATGTTTTCTACAAATTTAAATATTTTTTATGAGAAAAAAAATAACTAACTTTTTGTAGTAGTGTAATAATAATAACAAAAATTCACAAGGACCATGTAAATTATCACAATTTAATAAGAAATCAAAGAAATTGAAATTAATGAAAATTGAGTATTGTTTGTAAAAAAATAATAATTGAAATAAGAATATTATATATTTGAAAATAAAATTGATGATGCAATATATTTAGGGTTCGGTTTTTACAGGAAAATTTTCTATTAACTTAATCTCTTTTATCTTTATGTTTTTTATTCACTTTGATAACCTAATGTAACACATATCATTCCCTCTCAGTATATAATTAAGATGTATATAATTGAATTGAATTCTATTATAATAATTGATATATTCAATTAAATTCACCAATTAGATTCAAAAACTTGAGTATCTCCCGTGTAGATTCAACAATTAGGTTCACCTCTCAATCATTCCATAAGTGTTATGTTATGTTATCACTCATTTTTATTCATCAATTATTTGAAATTCAGAATACTGACCTACATAAAAAAAGTGATAAAATTTTCCTAAAAGGACTTGCATGAATATGAATATGCATATTGTATTATATTATATTATATTATATTATATTTTATATATATATATATATATATATATATATATATATATATATATATAATATGTGATATCCTCGATAAAAATAAAAGAAAAGACAAATATGCAAAACAAAAATTGAATAAAAGAGAAAATACTTTGCATCGTAGGTACAAGTTTTGTTACCAAGCATTTAATCTATTGAATAGAAGGCAAGATGTCTTATAGTGAAACCTAGACTCAATTCTTCTTTTCTACAATTTATAGGTTTCATGTTTTTCTTTGTTTCATGAATAGACTTTTCATTCTAAGATTTGATCAATGCCCATTGATGTTTAATTACTTAATTTATCTTTGGTTATTTTAGTTTTTTTCTCTTTAATTAATTTTATCTAACAATATTTTTTATAATAATCATAAACCCTAGAGAGAAGAATAAAGTTGAACCCATAACCTAAAAATTAAATCACGAAAATTCTATAAATTTATATAAAAAAAACTAATAAATTTAATTAATCATAATTATCATGAAAATAAGGACATACAAGTAAATAAAAATAAATAAATAAAATTAAAGTATTTCTATGCATATCTTGACGTTCTTCTTCACCTGGTTTCGCACATCACTTGTATAACCATACATGAATCAGAGTAAAACTGAATGAAGCATGTGATCCAAACCAAACCCAAAAATTCTGATAAAAAAAAGAACAAAAAGTCGTTCATATATATAATGTCATCACAATAATAATAGCTTAGTGTCTTCATACACAAGTATTTTTTAATTATTATTTCTAGCAACACAGATTGTTATCATATCATACAATCATCAATACATATATAAATAAGTATCCATAATTCAAATATATAAATATATATATATTGAAAAAGAGAGTTGAATCAGCAATCCAAAGAGTAGTAATAATTAATGCATTTAGCCTCCGACTAACACTGGATAGGTATGGTAGGCTAATAATATTCATCACCTGCATCAAAAGAAAACCCAACAAAACCCATTAAAATGTGTATGAAATGAAGAAATGATAAGGTGGAGAAGTAGAAGGAAGATACCCAAGATGAAGAATCTTCTTATCTGACTGAGGGTAAACAGATCCACCCTCCATCATGTTTGGATTGAAGAAGTTACGAGAAGCTAATGCCTGAATGGCATTCAGCTCTGGTCCAGAAACCATGTTTACTTGCTGAATCCTCTCAACGTCAGTTATCTATAAATTTTTAACAATTTTTTTTTGTCAGAAAACATTAAAATCTAAAATATATTATATTTTGAACGAAATTACCTTAGTCCGAAGGCAAAGATTTTCATTTTCCAGTTCAATCTCCTAACCAAAAATAACGCATGCATGCTATCAGTTACCAGTTTACAACTTTTGGCAAATAAATGTTGAAGAGTTAGTTCATGAATTACCCTTTTCTGGAAGTATTCTATTTGTGCCAGTAGCATCTCATGCTGTTGCAGTTAGAAAAACGAAGAAGGGAAAATAGCAATAAGACTTTATTAGCAAATAAGAAAGAAAAATTGCTAAAAAGGTGAGCCCTTTATATGTCACGTTTGAGTATTGCAAATTAGTTCATCAATAATTTCATCTTACTTTCTTAGATCTGATTCTAGTGATTCCTCTTTCAAGTCTATTCTCCAACTGCTTAAGTTCCTTTACAGTCAGTGTGCTTAAGGCATCACCCATCAGGTGCCTGCACAAGGCATAAGAGAGAAATGATTATTAAACTGCATACATGAAAACAAAAACAATGCTTTTCTCTGCAATTAAGTTCTGCACCATGGTTTTCAAAGATGGTTTTTAGAGGAACAAGCAACATGATAATAAAAATATCACCTGTTTGAATTTTGCAGCATCTGTATTTGCTGTCTCAGCTTTGCAGATTCTTGTTGATAATACTGTTTCACAGTGACACAGAAGACAATAAGTATTACAATTAGTCAATAGATTAAGGTAGTTGTGCATCACCCAAACCAGTTAAATTTCTCAATATACTAGTTTCAGAACAGTAGTTCTTTCTCTTTTGGATGTTCAGTAAGAATAAAATCCTTAACAAGATTCCATGAAGCACAATGAATAATTAATTTTAGACAATAAACACTTGTGAGAATAGACAAATAAACAAAAAAACAAGAAAAATTTATATGTAAATTAAAATTAACCTACAGATAAGTTAATTTATAATTTTTTTTTCATTACTTCTTTAAAATGTCATTTTTATGCCATGTAGAAGATAATTTTAACCGATTTTGATTTTTCCTTATATATTTCTTTCCTGTGAATGTTTATAGAAGTTTGTTCCACTGAAGCCTAAACTAATTAAACTTGAGTGACGTATATAGTGATATTGATGAGATGAATAGTGCATGCAATTACCTGAGCATTAATTTCGGTGGTAGTGCTGGTACTTGAATGATCTGAACATGCCTTTTTGTACCTCTCAATAGTTGATCTTATGCTGTAAAATATAAAAAATCATGCACCATCACAATATTCAGCGTTCACAAATTCTTATTCTTACTTTCATTCAAGTAATTAATTATGTTAAATTCTTTCAACAAGGGAAGCTTGTTTTTCATCTTAGAAGAAGTTGTCATAACAAAAAAAAAATCAAAACTTTTACAAAATCTTAGAATAAGTGGATGGGCATAAGAATAGAGTTTAACTGGTTGATGGCGTTGTGTGTGGTGGAGGTCATTGTCTCATCATCATCACTGACTCATGCTCGTGATCTCTCTCTCTCTCTCTCTCTCTCTCTATATATATATATATATATATATATATATATATATACTAACTACTAACAAAATTATGTATAAACTAAATGAATTAAAGCGTGCATGCAATTGTTCCTTGAAAATCTATCGAAGAACACTTCATATAAACCTAGATATGGATTCATATACAATGTACTCCTTCACAATTATAATGTACTAACTATAATGATCAGGACCTTAAGCGTTCACTTGTTAAGTTCATATCTTTCAGCACAAACATGGAAGTTTATATTTTGGAGTGAATTGATGAAAAAGAACTTGTCGGGGACAAAAGTACAATCACGTGCACATGAAACTCGCTTTTTCTTTTCTTCCGTTCAGAACTTAACCTGATGAGAGAGTGAAACTAAAAGATAGAAAATATAAAATGAAGGACAGCGGACATAGAGAAGAGAAAAAGCGTGTGGTTTTCACTGAAGAAGCCAAAGAAGTTTGAGGAAGCAAATTGAATATCAGAGAAATTTGAATGGAGCGGATTGACCGGAACTTTTGCATTCACTTTTCTCCCTCTCTCTCTCTCTCTCTCTCTCTCTCTATATATATATATATATATATATATATATATATATATATGTATGTATGTATATGTATACATATGCATGCACAGATTCTGATGTCTTATCACTTAAAAGGAAAGAAAATAGAAGAGACATGGTGAAGCAGAGGTCGGCTCATTGGATCTGACTCACTGATAAAAACTCAGTGTCTCTTACAATTTTGTTGGGCAGCTTAGTAGGTGAGTCTAATTATACATATAATATAATGCTCACAGCCATTATCATCATCAACATTAATTGTTATGGATGGTAAAGTTACAGGAACTAATAAGTTTTGAAAACCAAATAGTTATTTATTTGTAGTGATGCATGGAGGAGTACACAGCGAAGGGTGTGTTGAAAAAGTTTGGCTCCATGTTAATTAATATGGTGCATGAAACATAAATTCGTAGTCTAGAATGGTAATAGTAATAGTGTTTTGAAATATGTGATATACAATTAAATGTTGAGCCACCCTGTACTATGTGTGTGGTATATGTTGTAAACAATGTTATAGGAAATCCTACAAAAGTACAGTGTTTCACTGTTTTCATGCAAAGGGGAAAAGGTATAAGGTTTGAGAGAGAAGGAAGCCCTAACTAAGGGGTACAATACAACTGAAATCATCACGCTCTGTCACTTCAACATGAACAGAGAAGGAGAAAAGATAGGCCATAAGTACAAGAAGATAACAAAGTAAGTAAGTGCACCGTTACAAGGTCTCTGAGCCTTTGGTTACAAGGGACTGAAGTTGCAGGTCAACCTTATCATTAAATCATCACTACCCTACACTACACACCATCCATAACCATTACTCTCTTTGATTTCTTCTGTGCATTTCAAACACTTTTACAAACAATGTTATATACTGTGGTGGACTAATTTGAGCTAGTTTTGCAATGAAAACCTTTAATAACTATTTTTCCTACTTTAAATATAAGCATGTTTGTTGTTTGGATTTTATAGATTTCGGAAGCTTGATTCGTTTAAGAATGTTCCTTTTCTTTCATTGTCAAAACAAAATGTTCTTCATAAGATTTTGATCGTAGTTACGCTTTTCTCAATGAAATGTTCATACTATGCGCGCGTCAACCCTTGAGCCTGGTATTTGAAAATGAATGCTTCTTATAAGCTCATTTTTTCTTAATGCGAACGCAAATAAGTAATGATTTTTTTTTAAAATAAAAAAATAAACTATATATATATATATATATATATATTAATAAAGTTATAGAGTTATTTTCATAACAACGTATTACGCAATTAATACACAAATAATAACAATAATAAAAAAACAATTAAATGAGCTGATAATCACAACTAAATATTTATTTTAATAAAGTCTCGTTTTTAGGAATAATCGTATTTTATCGTGTTTCCTTCTTCACTTTTATTCTACTATTGATTTACGTAAGACTTCAAGAACAAAATAGAAGGTATAATATTGATTCAGTGAAAGGAACGAGAATTTGGAAGAAGTATTGCCTGAAAGTGAAGATTAGCCAAGTGGAATAAGGTTACAAAATTAGAAGCTTCCAATTATAATACTAAAAGATAAGTTACGCTTATAAGTTATTGGAATTTAGTAATGAGTGCTTTTAATGCATTAGTTAGAAACCTAAACAGAATATTAAATACGTTTAACCCTTACCAACCAGTTAGCATAAACCCTAATTAAGTTCCTCAACCTAAACGACTGTGCAACACTAATTTAAGTTTTAATTTTCCCTATTTTCTAAAAGTGTTATATAGGGGTGTCGTCGTTCACTGGCTCACATTTTAATTTCGCAGATCTACGCAGACTGACAACAATAATGCAACTTATTGTACTTATGTAATCATTAATTAACCATTTTAATTATGACAGATGGTTCCAGTTTACTAGTTCAGTTCACAAACAAAAATAACAGACTGCATCATTCATGCAAAGAGTAGACATATATATATATTTTTTATCAGAAGAGTGTGTGTGTGTGTGTGGGTATATATATAATGATAATTGAAGAGAAAAATAGAAATGAATGGAGAAGAAGGAGAAGGTGACTACTGACTTGTTGTTGGAGTACTCATAGAGACGGCCACGGCTGGAGAAGACAATGAGAGCAACTTCTGCATCACACAGCACTGATAACTCATAAGCTTTCTTCAGAAGCCCGTTTCTTCTCTTGCAGAATGTCACCTGCCGATTTGTGGTGTTCTCGATCCTTTTGATTTCAATCTTTCCCCTTCCCATTCTTCAACTCCTTCCTTCTCAAAACAAATTAAGGGAAACAAATTATTGTATATAGAAAATTCAGTACAAAACAAACCACAACATGTATATAATAATATCAAAGAGCTCCTACAGAACTAGATCTGATCAAATCCAGGTTAGATCTTACTTTGATGAAAGTTCAAAATTAAGGAATTATGTAACTTGGAGAAATGTGTGTGATATAGATGAGAAGTTGTGTGCTTTACATAGTTATGTATTAGCTAAATAGGGTAAAGGCACATATATATTCTTTCAGTTTCAGATGAAAATCAAGAGCAAGATCTAAGATAATGAACAAGATTTGGAGATGGTGCAGTTGTAGCCCCTTTCATGAAAGCGCAGGATAAGTTATAAAACTTTTCCTTCATCAGTGTTTTTGTTTGTATGTATGTATGTGTCAGTGCCTTTGGAGGTCGCTCCTCTCTTTCTTTGCCCATATATGAAAAACAACAAAATCCACCCACTCCCTCCAGGGGTAGAAAGAAACCCTTGTGATTTGTGAGGTGGATCTTCTCAACTCCGAACAAAGACCAAAGACCCTTCTCTTTTAACACAAAAATATGCAAGTCTATGCACAACAATAAACGATCAGATACTCAGACAGGCCCTTCATAAATAAACCATTTCATATTTTTGTTCTGAAGCAGAAAAATTTGGAAAGTGATGGAAACAAGAAATCTTGTGAAAGGCATAAAGGTGATATAGGAGAGAAGTTGTGACAGTTTTGAAGGAAAAACAAGTTGAAACGAGTTGGACAAGAAGATGTTGAAGGAAAATAAATATATAAGGAGAGTTTAAGCTTTTGATGAGAAAGAAGGGTTATATGAAGAACAGAAAACATAGAAAATATAAAATGTAAAAAGAAACACAGAGAGAGGTGGCTAACCTGTGTCTCACTCCGGCTAGTTCAGCTTTCGGAAAAATTTGTAATCCCAAAGAAATCAAACTGCACTATAGACTTTGTTCCACTTCCATCCCTCCTATTTATAGCCCTTTCTTTGTTTGTGTATCTTGGAAAGGAGTGCATGAGAGAGGGAGAGAGAGAGAGAGAGAGAGTGGGTTTGTGAAGAAGGAAAAAGGACCAGCTAAGCTGGAATGGTTTTTTGCCCAAACCAAGCACTCGACGTGGATGTTTTAGCTAAACAATGCTTCTTTCCAGGTGCAAATTACCACCATAAACAGCAACTTTTGTTTTGCTTTTGCATTTTCATTTTTCTCTTCCTCTCTCTATCTCCAAGTAATGACGTAGTAAAAATGACTTGCCTCTCCTCACAATTCCTCATATCTCTCAACAAACCCTCTCCTTCATTGTCCCTTCAGTAAATTCCCCTCCATAATGCACATTTTAATTACGATTCAGTTTTCTCCCAATACACGTAAACCTTTCCAATCGCATTCACTTTCACTCTAAATTTCAGATTATGTCTGAGAGAGTGATGACTAAGGCGAGAAAGAGTTTGAATAATGAAATGAACAATTGTAATATTGTAATATAGAATATAGGAAAATTTTCAATTTTCTAAAACTTTTCTAGGTTTGACGACGAACAGGCCCTACGGATCTAGAGAATCTATCATTTTCAGTCTAATAAATTGTGTAGGTGCCAAATATTCACAATATCATACAATTTTATGGGTTTATTTCAAATTTGAATGGACATAACACAACCAATCCTACAATACAGGTATTTTTAACTTCCATTATTTCTTCATCCACCTATGTCACCAATACTTTGCCTTTTCTTATTCTGTGTTTTTAGGACATTTTCCTAATTATTCACTTTAAAAAAATCAATAAATTCAATCATATTGAATTTTAAATAGACTTCATAGTAATAATAAAAAAGTACAGAATCAAGTAGGTCAAATCAGAATGTTAAAGGGAAGAGACCAATCTACACTTTAGCATGAACAATTTGTAAAGTCTGTCTTTTTTTTTTCCTTCTCTTGCTTAACTTCAGATAATAGACAATCATGGCAACTAAGTTCAAAACCAACCTAGTCCCACATGGAGTGATAATCATATTGTATTAATTATGTTTTTGTTTGTTTTTTATGAATTTCACATAATATTCATTTAAATACTTTATAAATTGATGATGCTTTAATTTTTGCATAAAGTACCTAATGGAATGATTTACTTATAAGTATTGAATATGATGTTTTTATGTTATAATTTTAGTTTTTGGTAGTTTAATATATGTATTGTTTTTTAAACTGAATTAATATTATGAATATGACAAAAAATGAAATTATTAATATAATAATTAATCATATAATTTTTTTTATATCATATTTCTTTATTTTATAATTTTTTTATGATATATTTAAAAAGTTTATAATATTAATATAATAAAATTTTTCGATCCAAATCATAAATCATTAATTTGGTTTGATTTAGATTTAAAAAAAAGAGTAAAATTGAACTAAATCAAAACCACATTTCAATTATATCTTTAATTTAGATTACCTTTTAATACAAAATTAGACGAAATCCAACCGCATAATTCTTTATTATTATTATTATTATTATTATTATTATTATTATTGAAATACATATTATCAATAAAGTTGGATATTCATCTATGTTAATTTTGAAAACTCATTTTTTTCTTATAATAGCCAAAATTCAATATATATATATATATATATATATATATATATATATATATATATATATATATATATATATATATATATATATATATATATGAAATAGTGTAAAACTAATTTTGTTATCAATAATAAACTATATACTACTTATTTACCTTTTTTTTATATTGATTTAAAACACATAACTACACCAAATTTTTTAACCAAATTCTTTTCATGTAAAACCATTAGTGTTGTAAAAATGGGAGCTAATACACTATTAAAAACATAATTATTTGTGGTGGACAAATTTGTAAAAAAAAAAAAATACTTCACGTGTGTTTGCCAAAAAATGGTTGACACAAAATGTTTATGATGATTTTTTTTATTATTAAATTCATCATTGTGGTGCATAAAACGCTATATCACATTATTATTTACAAAATATGATACTCTTCTTCAATTCATCTTTCATCACAAATTTTGATGAGTTATTTCATTACAAAACTTTTACAACATTTTTTTTACCATGGTTACATAAGCAAGTATATATGTTTGTTCAAGTATACAAGCACTCATAGTAAATCACTATTGCTTAAAGCAAATATTCGTCGCCATTTCTGATAGCCACTAACATTTTGCAACTAATGATTTCTCTGTCTCAGTATGTGAGATTAAAAAAAACTTTGTTTACGGTGCCACATGATTACTTAACTTGTGTTTTGATTAGAGATGATTTGAGAGATTGAAAATAAAGAAAAAAAAAGTTAAAATTGAGATTATTGGATTAAGAAAAAAATAATAGAAAGATTATATTAATAAAAATTTAAATAATAAAATAAATTAAAAAAATGAAAAATAATAAAAAATAAAACTATTTGAATGAAATACAAAATAAAATTAAATATTATTTAATTATTTATTATTATTTTAATTAAAAAAGCTAATTTTCCTGAAACATTTAAAATATAATTGATCATTTCAATAAACTTAATCCAATATCTTTACTTTTCTCGTAAACTTTGGCATATACTGAGAGACATGGAGAGAAAGTGACCTAGGAAATCATGTTTGATTTTTCATTTATTGATTAGGAATATATATACAAAATATAAACTATCATTTAGATTATTATTATAATTCACTAAGTTATAATTTAGACTAATCTTTAGGTAATTATTACTATAAAATATTCTTAAAATAATTACAACCTATTTTACCTAATAATATCTATCATACCCCTCAATTGAAGCGGGAGGTTGACAAACGTTTAGACTGTTCCGAAAATTATCAAAGAGTATGTACGAAATGTCTTTGGTGAAAATATCAACAATTTGATAGCGGGACGAAACATAAAGGACACAAACTTCACTGTGGACAGCTTTTTCACGTACAAAATATATGTTCATCTCAATATGTTCTATGCGTTGATGTTGTACAAGATTACCTGATAGGTAAATTACATTCACATTGTCACAGTACACTAATGTAGCTTTTTGAATTGGACAATGAAGCTCCAGAAGAAGGTTTTCAATATTGGATTTGTACAATGCAAACCAAAATCAACAGTACCCTGAATGTAACATAAAATACGCTAAGAGTATGCATGTGTTCTTCTTTGGGATTATACATATAAAGATATACTTGTTGCATCACATAAAAAATGTCAGACCTTGTAAAATTAGCAAGACATCTACATTTAGTAGGTTTCTCGTAGGAAATGTCATTACAAATGCTAAGTTTGAGCTTTGTGTCAACTGGTGTGGGACAAATTTTGCAATTAGTCATCCTTGCTTTTTCAATAATTTATTCTGCATACTTTTTCTGTGAGAGAAACATATTGGTTGCATGATGGGTAACTGCAATCCCCAAAAAATAACTAAATCGATCAAGATCCTTCATAGCGAACTTTGCACTAAAAAAATTATATAATTGACTTTTTAAGAGAATAAGAGGAAGTCATCTGGATAATATCATCAACATACAACATAATATATGCAATATCAGACTCCTCATGATATATGAATAAAGAATAATTGAATTTACTAGGTTTAAAATTGATTGTGACCATATAATCTGCAAACTGTTGGTACCAAGCATAAGGGGCTTGCTTTAGGCCATATAGTGACTTCTTTAACAAACAAACATAATCAGGATGAGATGAATCCTTAAAACTCATGGGTTGATGCATATAAATGATTCATTTAGATTACCATGAGAGGAATCCTTAACATGTAGCAAAACTTGGCAAGTCATCTTTTTGTTGCATAACTGTGACAACCAGGACATGCTTTTGTTAAGTTAGCGAGCAAACGAAGCACTAGACGTTGATTTGAAACACGAGCCTGAACATTGAATAATTGGTCAACAAGAGATTTGAGTCGGTTG